ACTATAGGATTTGATGTGAACATTGCATCTGTGTGCTGATGTGGTATGGTAACTTGAAGTGATGTACGTACGTACGTACGAAGTTCTACGTTATTGTTTACTAACTGTTGGGGATGTTAGATCCCCAAAATTCGCTTGATAATGCCGTATTTCGGTTTTCACGTTCGCCAGCAGGGGCTGATCAAATGACCTTGAGATTTCAATTCCCACCAGGAAAATCAATGGCTGTGATTGGCTGCTGTGTATTTTAGTATGCTATTTTCTTAACTGTCTCAAGGACGTTGTTATGTTGTATAAATAAACGAGAGTTGTATGCTTGATTGTACTGGATTGCTGGGTGTTTGTAGAATATACTTTCTACTCTTACCAAGACTTCTGTTTTTCCCGTTTGGATTCAAGGTAGCCTTCCTGGAAGCTGGTAAAAGTCTCGTTCGCGTTTATCGACTAAGGTAAACTCGTAATAGCCTCAAGCATACTAAGTGACGAACATATCAGTGGCGACGGGGCTCACAATTCACAATGTCAATTAACCTTGAACAGTTAGAATCTTTACTGGAACGTCAAGGTAAACGATATGAACAGTTCCAGGAACGTATGTTGGAGCTGTTAATGAAACAAATGAATTTGAACCCACGAGATTGTTCGTTTTCTGAGACTGTTCAGACTTTAAACCAACAATTTGGAGACAACTCGTCACTATTTAATACTCGTTATCGATGTTTGAAGCTTATTATGAACGAAGATGATGATTTTCTTACGCACGTGGGCATCGTCAACCGTGAATGCGAACGCTTTCGGTTGAAGTCTTTGTCGGAAGACCAGTTCAAAGCCCTCATTCTCATCTGCAGCCTCCAGTCGAGTAAGTTCAGTGACATTAGAACAAGGCTACTAAGTCGGTTGGAGCAAGATCCAAAGCTTACGCTTAATGATATGGCTCATGAGTACCAACGTCTCACTGACCTACAACGAGACTCGACTATAGTTCAGAGTGGTAGTTCAAGCCGATCTGAAATTCATTTGGTACAGCAGCCACCTAATCATTATAAGTCTGCCCATGCTACACCCAGTTCACCCCGCTCCAATTCGGACCAAAAACCCAAAATGAATCCACCTTCTGCTTGCTGGCACTGCGGTTCATGGCACTATGTACGGAACTGCCCATTTAGGCAGCATAGATGCAGGAAGTGTAAAGTCATCGGTCATAAAGATGGCTTTTGCCTACAGAAAAAGCTAAAGCGATCCAGAAGTGCTAAAAAGCCTGTTCCTAGATCCAGTACCAATGCATTGAGCCTAATATCTTCCTGCCAAAGCTCATCACCAGGTGAGAGGAAATTTATTACTCTTAATATTAACGGTTATTTGTGTAGAATGCAAATAGATACTGCATCTGATGTCACTATCCTCTCACGCAAAAATTGGACCAAATTGGGCAGCCCAAGCCTGCAGCACACAACACAAAAGCCTCGTACAGCATGTGGTAATTATCTTCGTCTGTTAGGACAATTGGAATGTAAAGTTGCTTTCCGAGATTCGTCGTTTACTGGGGTATGCTATATAACGCCAGCTGATCTAAATTTACTTGGTTTAGATTGGTTCGACCAGCTAAAATTGGCTGATGTCCCGCTAAATACCATATGCAACCTGGTATCACAACGACATGACCCAGAAGCGTATACGAAGAAGCTGATGACAGAGTTTTCAACCATTTTTGAACCTGGATTAGGTCGGTGCACTGCTATGAAAGCAACACTTCGGTTGAAACATGGGGCTAAGCCTGCTTTTCGTCCAAAGAGACCTGTACCGTATGCTACATTAGCAACAGTAGATGAAGAGCTGGATCGCCTTCAACGACAAGGAGTTATTACTCCCGTTTCTTACTCCAGTTGGGCAGCACCTATAGTCGTTATCAAGAAGGCCAACGGCACGATACGTATATGTGCTGACTTCTCTACAGGTCTCAACGCAGCTCTAGAACAGCATCATTATCCTCTGCCAGTCCCGGCAGATCTGTTCACTATGCTGAATGGGGGAAAGTTCTTCGCAAAGCTTGACCTAGCTGATGCTTATTTGCAAGTGGAAGTCGATGAAGCATCTAAAGAGCTGCTTACTATCAACACTCATCGCGGTTTGTTTCAGTATAACCGTCTACCTTTTGGAGTTAAGACTGCGCCGTCTATCTTCCAACAACTAATGGATACAATCCTGTCAGATATCCCAGGGGTTGCAGCTTATCTCGATGATATCTTGATTGTTGCGAAGACGTTAGAACAGCTACGGGAACGCACGACATTGGTACTACAACGCATCAGTGACAATGGTTTCCGGTTACGCCCAGAAAAATGCCAGTTTCTATTGCAGTCGGTAAAGTATTTGGGATTCATCTTTGATGCCGACGGTCGCAGACCGGATCCTGAAAACATCCGAGCTATCAAACTGATGCCCACTCCCACTCATGTTTCCGAATTACGATCTTTTCTCGGTTTGATCAGTTATTATTCAGCTTTTGTTCCCTCGATGCATGATATTCGCGCTCCATTGAATTGTCTACTGCAGAAGCATAGCACATGGAACTGGAATAAAGAGTGTGACGCGGCTTTTGGTAAACTCAAGTCTATAATTAGCTCGGAATTGTTATTAACACACTACGATCCATCCATGCCGATCATCGTAGCAGCAGACGCTTCAGCATATGGCCTAGGTGCTGTTATTTCACATCAGTTTCCAGACGCGTCAGAAAAAGCCGTTATGCATGCATCCCGTACACTGACCCCAGCAGAAAAGAAGTATAGCCAGATAGAGAAAGAAGCTCTTGCCCTTGTGTTTGCTGTTCGCCGTTTCCATAAGTTTCTGTACGGTCGGAGATTCACGCTCCTCACAGATCACAAGCCTCTGTTAGCAATATTTGGTTCAAAGTCTGGCATTCCAGCCCATTCTGCAAATCGTCTTCAGCGATGGGCCTTGGTACTTTTGGGGTATGATTTCGAAATCCAATATCGACGCACTCTACATATCGGTCAAGCAGACGCTTTGTCACGACTCATTAATGATCAAGTGGCGGCTGAGGAAAACATGGTGATCGCATCTCTGTCAGTAGAAGACCACGCAGAATGTTATCTGACAACCGCAGTTCGCGCATTACCGGTGTCTGCAACAGACATACAAAATGCTTCTAGAAACGACTCCATCATCAAGATGACGATGAAATATGTCACTAAAGGTTGGCCGTCGAAAAAGTTTGAAGGTGACATCAAACAACTGTATCAGCGGCGGGATTCACTATGCATCGTGAACGATTGTCTCATGTTTGGTGAAAGAGTAGTGGTTCCAGCATCCCTTCGTGCAAAAGTGCTGAGACAGTTCCATCTTGGTCATCCTGGGATTAAACGAATGAAGTCCATAGCCAGGAGTTATGCATACTGGCCTCACATGGATCAACATGTCACAGCGTTGGTTGAAAAATGCATGCGGTGTCAACAGGCGGCAAAGATGAATGCCAAAATTCCGCCGGTTTCATGGCCCAAACCTGAGCATCCTTGGTCCAGGATACATGTCGACTTCGCTGGCCCAATAAATGGAACTATGTATTTAATTGTCGTCGACGCCTTTTCTAAATGGCCGGAAATCAGCCCCGTTACGCCGCCCACTACAACTAAGACTATACAGCTCCTAACTGAAATTTTCTCACGGAATGGCATACCAGATGTGATCGTATCCGACAATGGCTCTCAATTCACCTCTTCCCAATTCCAGAATTTCTGTCAACGGCTAGCTATTAAACACTTACGCTCGCCACCATACCACCCGCAATCGAATGGGCAGGCGGAAAGGTTTGTGGATACGTTTAAAAGAGCACTGCTCAAGTCAAAAGGGGAGGGGACGCCAGCCGAAACGTTACAAAATTTCTTGTACGTCTATCGGACAACACCAAATGAATTGTTACCGGAGCAAAAGTCCCCAGCTGAAATCCTGATGGGAAGAAGATTGAAAACGATTCACAGCCTGATGCATCCGACCAATGCACCCTCATCAGTAGGGACAAAGCAGCAAAGACAATCCGCTTACGAGGTGGGATGCCCTGTGTTTGCCCGCGACTACAGAACGAACCATGGTCCTTGGGTGGAAGCGAGAGTGGTCAGAAGGGTTGGTCGAGTTATGTACGAAGTAGAGGTAGGAGGTGATAAATGGTCACGTCATCGCAATCAGATACGCAGACGGCTAGCCCCAGATCGCCCATCAAGAGCAGAAAGCCTTCCCCTTGACATCTTGCTTGATACCTTCAACCTACCGAGAGCCCCGCCACGAGAAGAAACTCAGCAGCAAGCTGTTCATCGTTCCCGAAGGTATTCCCTCAGACAGCGGCGAACAATAGTCAAGATGCAAGTCAACCACAGGAGAACACGCTATTAAAAAGGGGAGGAGTGTTGGGGATGTTAGATCCCCAAAATTCGCTTGATAATGCCGTATTTCGGTTTTCACGTTCGCCAGCAGGGGCTGATCAAATGACCTTGAGATTTCAATTCCCACCAGGAAAATCAATGGCTGTGATTGGCTGCTGTGTATTTTAGTATGCTATTTTCTTAACTGTCTCAAGGACGTTGTTATGTTGTATAAATAAACGAGAGTTGTATGCTTGATTGTACTGGATTGCTGGGTGTTTGTAGAATATACTTTCTACTCTTACCAAGACTTCTGTTTTTCCCGTTTGGATTCAAGGTAGCCTTCCTGGAAGCTGGTAAAAGTCTCGTTCGCGTTATCGACTAAGGTAAACTCGTAATAGCCTCAAGCATACTAAGTGACGAACATATCACTAACTGACTAGCCGTTCTTACCACCAGCAAATACTGTTACTACTTCTACCAATCAGGTATTCATCTTGATCACTATATCTGGCTCTACTGATATGATGTAGCAACTTGAACTGACATACGCAAATATATGTATCGGGCTCCTCTTTGCTGTTTATGACTGATTGACTAACAACTGCGTAAAAATAGTAGTCAAATAATTTTTATAATTACACAAAATAATTACAACATTTGTTTACAAAATATTTGTAAATATGCATATTGTACAAACAGAATATGATACAGTGAATGTTAATTTTTTTTACAAAAAAAAAACAAGGATTGGTAGGTTTTATTTATGTGGGTATATTAGAAAGATTAGACTACTCTATTCAGGTGTAGTTCATACGAGTTAACATAGAGTTCTCGAATCGCTGATCCATAGTGGAACCTTCAGGAATGATTAAACCACGAGAAATTGATTGAAGTTTCACATAATAATTTCTTAGTGCTGATTCTAAATTGCTGTACATCTGTGTATATATAAAAAAGACAAGACAGCAGAAATGATAATTTTAGGGGAATAAACTTTACTACTAAAATAAATTAAGTAGATAGTTACATGCTGCATGAAAATAATTTAGGCAGTGACGGGTAATTTATGACTGTTATGAATGTATGAATGTATTATTTGAGTTGCATAATTGTTAGGATTTTCGACCACTAACTAAATTCATGTCATTCAAATGCCAATCGGAGTATGTTTCAGTATTAATTAGCTTCAGTCAATGGCTGAGTTCGCTTGAAATGTCAGGAGTTAGATATCACTCAAGAGTCTGAAGGTGACTTACTCTGAAACTCTAATATTTTATAAATAAGTGGGTCACGTGTCGACATAACACTGATAACTCCAATAACTAGGTTGAAACAGCTATCCAATGCTGTTGTTAGGCTAAATACAGTCAATGATGCATACTCTCATCAAAAATTCAACTATCTCTCAAAAACCCTAATAATAATACTGATAATCAGTCCTACATGAGAAAATAAGAATCATATTTGATACTCATAAAATTTTACACAAAAAAGAAACAGGCTATTCAAGTGGAAAGTGATGGCAGATTATAATCTCAACTGCAAGATTTTATGCATTGATTCATCAAGCAGGTAAAGACCCGCATAATTAGCCACAAGCATGATATCCTCGGAAATCGATAAGTTCGGATGCTATTACGAGTTCACCTTACTCGGTAAACGGAACAAAGGTCAACGATACAGTGACACGATAGGCTATTCTAATCCGTTTGTCCCTGGCCTCGCTTACTAGATCAAAAAGTCTTGATAAAGCGTAGAGAATGTATTCTACAGACACACAGAAAATACGAGGTTCTCAAGCACACAACTCAACCTTATTTATGTAACGATAGAGACGCCCTTGGAAGAGCCACAAAATAGCGTACTAAAATAATTCATCAACCAGTGACAGTTAAGGATTTTCCGAGGAGAAAATGTAAGCTGAAGGTTAACTACGCATCTCTGGTGTGAAAACATGGAAGTTCAAAATGTTCAGCATAAAATTACAAAATTAAGACCTTTCCAAGTGAGTTCTGTGAATCTAACGTCGCCAACAAAGCAACATACCCTGAAAGTTTGCGAGTGAGTGAGTGAGCGGGTGATATTACCCGATTGTTTGAAGTAGATGGTGCGAGGTTTGAACATGTGTACCATGAAGCTACTGGTACACATATGTTACAACTATGCTGAATGTTATCATTACAAGACAAGTAGAGAGTTTATTGTGAATTAACAATAACAACGTTGATTACGAAAAAAGAAACTGTTAATTCAATGAAATTGACAACAACACCACCAACAATAAAACTTACAGTTTCAAAAGTTTTTGATTCCATTGATAATAATTTCAATGTATTCAATATATAAATAAATAATGTATGTGGTAGATACATTGTACCTGCTAGTATAACAGTTTTATTAGTTTTTCGTTTAGAATTGATTGAATCCATAGAAGAATTAGATAAGGTAGACTAGAAAGAAAGAGAGAGAGACAGAGAGTGTAAATAAAACGCGTGTCAACTTAACTGACTCAATGATAACGCTCGTATTATATGTGATGTAGTTTAAAAATATCCTGAATTTGATTCTACATTGTTCATTTTCCATTTTGTTTATGTTATCAAGTTATTTAGTTATAAGCAATGTAAGACTCACCAACTCGATAGGTAATTGTTCGAACTACCACAACTTATCAATTAGTGCAGTAGAAATGGAGAATTAGTAGCAATAGTAGTATATATATGATAGGTAGCATTGTAATGCCTCCACATACACTTGAGTTCGCTCATATTTAATTTGGTTAAGCCTTTATAACTGTATAGCAACAACTTACACGTATCATTGACTTTTACTATTTATTGTCTGGCTTGTATGAGCCGGTATACCTGAACATTGCTTACCGCATACGTGAATATTCATTCTACTGGCTTTAATCTCTAAAATATTTCAATGACTCAGACATTTTATTATGTATATATATGTATATTTTAATCTTATTAATACATTCGCCTATTTGCTCACTAACGTGGTTGCCCTTCTCTGTGTGCTTGTGATCTGCTAGTCCATTTGTGGTGTACCGAAATAAACGTATTCAACACTTCGTGTTCACCTTTTGATTTAAAACCGGCAGGCGTTATTTAGTGACGATTGTTTGGATGAGCAGATAAATTACGAAGTCTAAGAATACGTGGAATATAGACCGTCACGAGACTAGTGATACATAACATACCATAGCATAAAACACTAACCATGATGAATATAATTAGAAAAGAATCCATGAATACACAGAATAAAGTCAACAAAAAGAATTTTTCATAAGTCAAGATCTAAAAAATACACTGAAAAAACAGAATATGAACAGTAACTTGTAACTGTAACAGTAACTTGTATAACACGATCCAGCTTGATGAGTTTTAACTTTCTATTCATTTTCTTACACTGTTCAACAATGTGCATCAAGGTAAGAGATTGGTTAATAATGCGTTAAACATAATTACAATCACTTTGACCAATGAAGATACATAATTCTGTGTATAATCATAACAATTGGTAATTTGATGACCTAGACATACGTGAACAATGCTTTGAAGATAACTGCAATTAAATATGAACACCTGAGCATGTCCTTTAAGAGGCCATAACCTTACAGTCATGTTATTCGAAAATTTTCTTTTGCGGGGGGGGGGGTCGGTGGAAAACATGTTTGAAGTATTGGTTATGAGCTGATTCAAGTTAAGTAATATATTTTGAGCACGAATCCGAGGTTGCGTTAAATTCGAGTAGCATTTATTACTTTAGTAGACCGCGATGACTTCTTCATTTAAGAACGTTTGAGTATACTACAAAATAAATCTCCTGTTCAGTTTCCTAATATTATACTTGGGCGAACCGCGTTTAAGCGACGGCGGTAATAACAAGCCAAATACGGATTCGTTTGTATGAGTTTATTTCAAACAATCGTTCATGCAGATAGACTTGATAATGAAGAGCATACCAAGCAGAGCGAAGAGAAACGGAGAAAGCGAGCAAGTCAACTCCTTCTGATAAACATGACCCAGTAGTTATGGTCACACAAAATAGGCTAGACATGTAATAAACGAATTAGGCGGTGCACACATATACTCAAGTAGTAACAACCAAAATAAGAGTGAATAGCAACTCGAGGAGAATGAATTAGTTAATTTAACGAAGGCTTGGGACAAGCCATGTAAGCACGACATAAAAGTACACACCCTACAAATCATCACTAAAGAGCAACTACATAGTTTCTATCAGTCAAGTACTTAGTGAAAATGACACTCAAGAAAAATTAAATTTCTATGACCTGTATGCATCAATGTCAACACAGTTAGGTTTCAGACTTTCAATCTACAACGACTAATCTAAATATGGATAAAAACATTACTATCACTATCCAGTGATTATTTGACTGGAAATCATACTTTAATGCCTAAAAGAACGGTAATGAAGCATGACTAACCACGTTGATTGAAGCACAACAGGTTAATACTTCCTTAGGATTAAATACTCCAGTAGTACATGTGATTGACAGTTCCTACCGTATGGGGCGGTAACTTGGAGAACTGCCAAAGCCATCATCCAGAAGATACAAGTATTTATAAACAGTTGTCTACGCAAAATACTTCGGATTCGTTGGCCAGACACCATCACGAACAACCTACTGTGGGAAAGAAAAAAATCAGATTCCAGCTGAGGCGGTGGAACTCGATCGGACACACACCTCAGAAAGCACTCGACTGAGTCACAAGACGACAAGCTCTCATTTGGAACCCTCAAGATCAAACGAAGGCCAAAGAACACATTACGCCGAGAAATAGAGACAGATATGAGAAGAATGAACAAAAATTGGACAGAATTGAAAAGGGAAGCCTAGGACAGAGTAGGTTGGAGAATATTGGTCGTCGACCTATAACTCTACCTGTGGTAACAGGCGTAAGTAAATAAGTAAGTAGATATATTCCAATACAATAAGAAACATTTAAATAAGTTCAAGTATACTTACTCGTACACCAAACGACGATGCATATGCAGCATTATTCATAGCTGATTCCAATATATCCATTGCTAATTGATATGCTATTTCTAAACGATTAAATTTTATATACAATCGTAATAAATTAACAGCTCGTTCTGTTGCATATGAAGTAGACAATAAACGTGAAGTTAACCATTCCGGTAGATATAATTGATTAGGACCTGAGGCAAGAATATTTTCACATGCAATTAAATGCAGTAGACCATGACTATTAGTTTGAAATGTTGATGGCTTTGAATTAGTTGGATTTGGTGGATCTAGACGTGTGAGAACTGTTTCCAAAAGACACCAATACAATTCCGGTAAGTTGGATTGACTATGTAGAGAAGAATAAACAGGAGAAAATTCCAAAGAATGTTTAATAATAATAATAATAATCATGAATGATCAATGAAAATAACTCTAACTTCAATCAGTCTATTATATTAAACGACTCTTACACTATTGGATCCTAGCTCAGTGATGTACAGATTAGGCGTTCATGAGTGAGACTAAAGAGTTCGATCCAGTGTAGTAGCTTCACAATGAAAGGACACTTTTTTTGAAGTAGTAGTGATCGTGATAACTTAAATATGGTCGGACAGCTGAAAGAACAACTGCTTGAGGAAGGGGTCACATATAATCTTTTCTGAGTAGTGCTCAGTGAGCAGGGATCTTACAGTTAAGGGAAGGTAAAATGAGACGATTTTACTATGTTTAACCATTTCTAACCCTTTGATTCCGTTACGAAAAGGAAGCGTTGTTGAAAATGTTGGGTAAGTTGATAGAAACACCCTACTGTCATTTAACTCCAATGCAGTTACCAGAAAGACTTCTGTTGTAACGCTTGCTTAGATAATTCCCAGCTAAATCATATTGCTTAGTATTCTCTGACCACAATACACTGGACAAGTTCCCAAGAATCAAAAACACGGTTGAACAGGAAAAGATTATATTCCAAATAGCAAGGTTAAATGGAAATAAGAAGCCAAGGGTGATGGCGAAGGCGAAGGCTAAAATAGATACAACGTTAGTCTATTTATAGCATTTGCATGAAAAGCTTCTGGCTAGAAATTCACGTGATCGAATGGATTAGATTTAACCAATCAGCACGCAACTAATAGTACGAGAATCTTCTAACCTGATCTCCAAGCATCGATCAGGCGCTGACTGGATAGGAAATTAGCCAATCAGCGCGTAGCAACGTAGTCATGCTTTAATTGCATCTATGTCTCACTAACAACTTCACCCTGAAAAATATGGAACCTAACTGATGGCAATAATCGTGAATTAGACGAATTAGACAAATCTCCACAAAACACAACAACAGTAACCGGTTCTCCTTAAATATCAATAAAAAAACTGTCTTGACAAAAAAAACATCAATATAACCTTACTTAAAATAACTATAATTAGAATGGTTATTGGATTTTCCAATTGCATTGATATTATTTCCATTGTTCCCAGCAGCCACATCAACATTCAATGTACTCAAGCTAGATAAAGATTGTTGAACTAGATCAACTTCATGTTCTAACGGTGAAGAATCATTCGCCAAACCTGGTAGAATTGAGAATTGATTGAAACCAGTTGATGCAGTGATGATCGATGTAGTATGTTGTGGCACAGTGGCTAAATTAAAACTTCCAGCTGCAGATTGAGCTAGTTCACTACAACGTAAACTTATACTATTAATAATAACTGTCGGATCAAGATCATACGATTCACAAAGACGAACAGCTTCCTGAAGAAGAGTTGAAGGAAAAAAAGAGGAAAAGTTAAAAGATCACAAGAACTAGCTGACGAATGATTGACACCTGACAGATAAAGAGTAAACTAAGTGTTTAATTAGTTACTGATTAACGGAATTAAAGGAACATGTAGCATTTAGGGATAGTTAGTGTCTAACTGAAAGAGAATTTACATTACGGGGTTGTTGTGAAGATTGTTAAGTTTTATTTGAAACCATGAATCGATCACTGTGTAGACAACTATCAGAAACCTGGAAGCAATGAAAGACGGCCGTCCCGTCCTGGTATGGGACTCTCCAGCAGTGCGTATCCACGACTCCTACACCCCGCAGGATTCGAACCCAGGACCTTCGGTATTGTAGGCGAAGGCCTAACCATCGGACCACTGAGCCGGTATCTAACGGTGTCAATGTATAACTTGATCAATTCACGGAGTTGTGCAGCCTCATACAGTGTTTTCGGCAGTTACTGCCTACACCCGAACAGGTTGAACTTCACTGGTCAGGTCCTCCCACTAGAACTCGGAGATCCCTCACGAAGCTAGTCACTAGTGAGCACAGGTAATTCCCATTGAGGAGTCCCATACCAGGACGAAACGGCCGTCTTTCAGTGCTTCCAGGTTTCTAATGGTGGTATAACATTGATCGATTCATGGTTTCAAATAAGAAAGAAAATTGTTGGTTAAACCAAGAGGCGACATCAGCCTATGATATCATACTCCTGGTGGTGATACTCTCTCTGGTGAAGTCTTCACACAGATTACAACAAGTGTAAAACTTTGCTAACGAGTGCCAGCTAGTAGGAAGTCTAGTACAATCACTGTATTCTGTCGACTATCACTAATCATATGACATTGAAATATAACTCAGTCAATATCAAATCATTCAAACTAGTTGTCATATTGCAAATTTGATCGATAAAATTCAATCCGAACGAAAGACTAGAAAACATGATATTGGCTATTGATTAGTCAATCAATCAATCAATCAATCAATCAATTAATAGCAACGTAGAACATCGTACGTACGTACATTAGTTCAAGTTGCCATACCACATTAATACAGAAACGCAGTTATCACTTCAAATCCTACGATAGTAGAAGTAATAAATGTATTAGCAGTATTCGAAGAGATTGTGATTCGAAGATATTATTCAAGAAGTAGAATCTAGTGAAATAAACTTAAAAAGAAAAAGATAAAGGTGATGAGGAACTCCGAAGGTTAGGATTTGAGAGAACACGAAGAACGAATGCACCTAAGCCACTGCAAATGATTTTGAGCCATGTCATTCAGGGTCTCTAACCATCGATTACTATCATCTCGTTGACCCCAACCAGGTAGTCAACACCTACCAACATGACTCAATCCACTTGTCAGTGATTTCATGTATTTGTGCCATGTTTTGGTCTGGCCGTGATAAGTTCGTCACTTAGTATGCTTGAGGCTATTACGAGTTACCTTAGTCGATAAATGCGAACGAGACTTTTACCAGCGTCCAGGTAGGCTACCTTGAATCCCCAAAGCGAGTAAAAAGACTTTGTAAGCGTAGAAAGTATATTCTAAAAACACCCAGCAATCACAGTACAATCAAGCATACAACTCTCGTTTATTTATACAACATAGAAACGTCCTTGGGACAGTTAAGAAAATAGCACACTAAAATACACAGCAGCCAATCACAGCCATGGATTTTCCTGGTGGGAATTAAAATCTCAAGGTCAACTGATCAGCCCATGCTGGCAAACGTGAAAACCAAAATAAGGCATTTATCAAGCGAATTTTGGGGATCTAACATCCCCAACAGGCCGCTAGTGAATAGTGATTATTATATGTATTTATCAACTAAAACTAACCAACCAAAAATGGCGCAACGTTCACAGTATAAAATTTCATGGGGTTTGCTCACGATATATAATCATTTATACACTTACATCATATAACGCAACAGACAACAGACCATGAACAACTTCCTCTAGTGTAAATGCACCAGCTCTTAACATTCCCTGTTCCCAACAAGCTTGAGCAAGACGAAGACGTGCACGTGTTAATATATACATATTGAATAAATCTTTCAATGTAATTATTTGTTTATCTCGTCCAATTTGTTGTAAAGATGGATCAATTGTTGTGGCACTGCGTTTTACACTGTCCACTGAGTGTTTTTCTCCATTCAGACTATTACATCTCAATTGATGATGGGGAGGAGGAGGAGTTGGAAGAGAATTAATTGTGCGCTCTTCATCAATAGCATCATTGTCTAAGACAAGATCATCAGGATTAGCAAATGCCCAGTCATCATTCATAGAATCCTGTTAAGATAGAGAGAGGATAGAGAAAATGAATATGGATTTGTGACACACAGAGAATTCATATTCAATATGGACAGGGATGTGTACAGTTTTAGATTGGAACAAAAAAATTATGTTATATCTATCATGTGTAGGTGCTGTTGAATGATGTGGTGTATAGCTGTTACGCCTGCACGTAAACACGTCATCTTGGTATACTTGAACCATTATGAGTTTACCTAGTCGGCAAACGAGAGCGAGGATCCGGCGATACTACTCAAATCCGATTACCCCAACCCCGATATTTAGTAAAAGAAGACAAGACTTGATATGAAGTAGAACCTGTATTCTACAAGCATCCAGAAAGGACGAGGTCCAAATCCAGTAGAGAAACAGGATCCCTGACTAGGGATCCGGGACCGAGCCCTGGTCCTGGTGGTGGTTGTGGTCATAAAATGTTACAGATAATGCGTATTTATACATTTTGGTCGAATAGGAAACAGCATCGAATTCTGTGGCATTGGCAGTTAAGACGACCAATAGGAAGTAACATTTGAAATGACATTGACAGTTCAGATGACCAATAAAAGACAACATTGAAGTATTTGACTTTGACAGTTAAAACGACCATAATTTTGACCAATAGAGATCGACCAATAGGATTTGACCGATAATTCTCTTAAGATATTGGATGAATATCCTAACAATAGCGTAGTGAAAGCGTATCCTACGATTTATCTGGGCATGAAATACGTAAAATGTCGAAATTACTGAGAAATTACTCTCTAAGCGGATTGGACTCGGAAATTCGTGAAAAACCTAAAAACTAACGGACAGAGTAAAAAACTTCTTTTTTTCGAAAAAAGATACACTAACTAATTCCAAAAAACTACAATATCAACCTTCTAAATGTAATACTTGACATTGAGTTCGAAATTTTGGCAATACTTCTACACACGTCCATTAACTTCGCTCGAAATGCTCAATTTCAAAGTTTTACCAAACAAACCAGTTGACAAGCATCCCAAGCAATTCAAAACAATCGTTATGAATTGCTCTCATCAAGATATTAATGCAAAATACTAGTCACTTATAGCTACTAATGTGGTGTGAGCTACTTATAAGTAGTATATGACGTGACTGTCAACGTAATGTCTGGCAGCAGAAGATGGGAGAAGATCAAGAAAGGAAGAGTGGGAACACAATGGAATTTGTATGAAACGCATGAATAATAAGTGACAATGGATTGATGTTTGGCAACAGGAACAGTCCAGTTCGATATGATGAACTGATATTTTGCAAATGAACAATTTACGATATGGTTTTCCAATTTTACTGAGTAACTAACTCTGTAATTTTCGTTAAATACAATTCGGTTGGCCTCACCGGTGTTCTCGTTCACTACACTAACACTGACTTACAGACACTTGAATATCTAATTTTTTTAAAAAGTTCTATTATATATTCAAACGTTTTAAAAATTAAAATACGGATAACGAAACATAAAACCAGCATTACCATACTGTCTGATTCAGTTACAGAGATATCATGATGATTTTCACCGTTATTATTATTATCAACATGGACAATGACATTCTCATTCACAGGACTTATACACACAAGCCATTGATTATCTTTAGGCACTAAATAAAGTGCATTAATAGCTGAAGCAAGACAAGCAGCTTGACGTTGTAAACCAATGAGAATACGTGCACCACCACCAAACCGTAAACTATTCCATTGTGAAGCCGCTAACATAGTCTCTTCAATTAATCGATAAGAATGTTCAAACATTACAGATGCAGCTGAACGATAATCAGCACGATGTATATGATAAGCGTATAATACATCATAGTATGGATTAGAACGAGTTGCGGATGACGACAAAGAATTGGATTTGTCTGTAGATATATCTGATGGTTGTGGTACTATGACTACATCAGCAGCACGAGCTCTAGCTTCCAATATTGCAATAAACTAAAAATCATAGAAAACAAATTTCAATTGAATAATAATCAATACAATGATTGAATTCTCATTAAAGATGAATAGAACACCGCACCAACTAAGTATAAATTTATATTTTAAAAAACATGGAGTTCAGAAGAAAAGGTATCTTTTTTAAAGGACCATGTATATTTTTATAAATTCTGTGAAAACATATGGACTATAAGATGGTGGAGAAAACTTGTAGCTCAGGTGGGGATGATTGTGGTGGTGTTTCGTTCTCTGAGCTGGTTGTTTTGGTTGTGGAGCTTTCATTGTTCTTCTACTGAACAACATCATCAGCACAAACTTCAGATAGCAGAAGTGAAGCATTCGAATTTCTCCACGTTTGACCTGTAGCTTGTTCTGGTAACCTCGATCTGAATGGTGCAATCAAAACAAAGTTGCAAACAACGACAGGTCAAAAGACAACGGCAACCAATCAAGATCGAGGTTAGCAGAACAAGCTACAGGTCAAATGTGGAGAAATTCGAATGCTTCACTTCTATCTGAAGTTTGAGCTGATGATGTTGTTCAGCGGGAGAACAATGAAAGGTCCACAACCAAAACAACCAGCTCAGAGAACGAAACACCACCACAATCATCCACCTGAGCTACAAGTTTTCTCCACCATCTCATATATGATATCATAAAAAGATCACAATACTAGATTATGTAATACAGTTTAGGCATAAGTTAGTTGAAAAGAGATCTCTTGGTTCAACTTCGTATTTCAATCGGGGTGTATTGAGCTCCCAATATTCAAAACTATTAAGTTTGCTTCAGTTTTGTTTTAGCATCCAACGCTTTTTTTGTGTATTGCTTTATACTACTTGTTAATATTCAGTAAACAGTTTTATTTTCCTAATAATTTCAAAATATATAGTGCAGCATGTTGAGGACATGAAGAACATTTATGAAAACCAAACCAAAAAACGGTGGAGTAGGGTTCGAATATATGACTTATCGATGGTCAGAGGTGAAGTTCATTTCAACCAGTAAACTACCTTTTGACCAAATGATTTTTTTGATAATTATTGACAACTAGCAGGAAAGAAATTGCTAACCAACCAACCTAACTTTAAAATTAACCAATAATATTTTAAGAAAGGATTTTAAACATCATGCCACATAATCAATAGTGATTATTAGCCCACTCACTTCATTTTCCATAGGTCCATATTGAAAAGAAATCAATTTGGATGCTTCACCACGATCACAAACTGTGACTATTAACTGACGTAAACAATCTCGACGCCTGAATAAAATTTTTTAAAAGAAAAAATCATTATTGATCAATATGGTAGTTTGTGCAAGTTAGTCATACATTTTAAGAAAAAAATGCAGCCTACAGTTACATGCATACACCAAAACGTTATTTCGTTTTGGCAAACAATTAGTTCAAGAATTCATAATACTGCCAATGTTTCAAATCAAGAACGGTATTCTGCAATTGGAAGCTTTCCTTTAAGGTCATGTTGCATACAGTCAGTCAAATGTGTTCACAGTATTTTTTATGAGAAGCATAGCCTCCGATAACATTCTGCAAATAAATCACATATATACAAACAGTGGTACATGTAATTATCCAATCAAAAAAAGGTACACATTTTTGAAATCATCAATCAATCATTGTTATACCACAATTAAAAACCTGGAAGCACTGGACGGCCGCTTCGTCCTGGTATGGGACTCCTCAGCAGTGCGCATCCACGACTCCTGCAACCCGCAGGATTCGAACCCAAGACCTTCGGTAGTGTAGGCGAACGCCTAACCATCGGAGTCCCAGACCAGAACGAAACGGCCGTCCAGTGCTTCCAGGTTTTTAATGGTGGTCTAACATTGATCGATTCATGGTTTCAAAAATGTGTAACTTAACAATCTTCACAACCCTGTAATGCAAAAAAAAGTGACACGTGTCTTTTTTTTCTTTTAACTATTTCTGAGATGCCAATATTATTCGATGGTGTTAAAGAGAAAAAACCCTTTCTAGGCTTCTAAATACTTTGAAAAGGGATATTTTTCAACTCCTCGGCAATCTCTCTATGTTTATGTCATTTAATCAATGAATCTTTGGGAAAACTAATTTGAAATACATTATCATTATTATTAGAATGACTCCCAGTTGATTCTGTTTGATTTACATATTTTGTTACAAATGAACACTAAAAAAACAACTAGGTATTATACAAATAAAGACGACAAACCGTATAAAGTAAATGAAAGACAGGGAAAAAAGAGTACAATCAAACAATAAGTGTACAACAATTCAGTTTGAAAAATATACAACAAAACATGAAGTTCTTTCAGTTAAATCAACTTTTCCGCATTTCATAAATGTATACAAAACTGTCAGTGATAATATGAATCGAACAGCTTATTGAATTATACAGACAGACACACAGACAGATACAACGCAGAACGTACATACATCAGTTCAGCTTGGTATGCCCCCATCAGCACAGAAACGCAACAGTGATAGCAATAATAGAAGTATTAGCAGTTGTCGAGCGAAGATTTAATTCGAGAAGTATGAAGTAAGATAAATTTAGAAGGAGAAAGGTAGAGATTATGAGGAATGCACAAGGTTAGAATTTCATACAACACAAAGAGTGGGTGCACCTGCGCCATTGAAAACGGTTTTGAGCCATGTCATTCAGGGTCTCTAACCACCGGTGACTATCGTCTCGCGGAACCCAACCAGGTAGACTACATCTACCAATATGACTCAGTCCACTTGTCAGTGACTTCATGGATTTCTGCCATGTTTTGGTTTGGCCGCCCCTAACTTTCTTCCAACCTACTCCTACACCACAAAACCATAGCTTGTCGAGGCAGTCGGTGGTTAGGCATTCGTAACACATGTCCCAACCACCTCAACTGATGAAGTTTCATAACCTCATCTATTGATTTACCATCCCTATCTAGAATTCGTTTCCTAACGACAGCATTGCTTATATGGTTGTCCCATGATACACGAGCAATGCTTCGGAGACATCGATGATCGAACACTAGTAACCTACGAAAGTCCTCTACTCTTAACAGCCAAGTCTCGCTTCCGTACAGTAGGACGAAGCGAACTGCTGTACGGTACACTCGTTCTTTGGTTAGCAAACGGATATCTCGCCTGCGCCATAAGTGACGCAGGTTGGCAAAAGCCAATCGAGCCTTCTGTATCCGTGCTGAGACTTCATCAGTCACCAGGCCATCAGCACTGAGTTATACATTGAAATCATTAATCCACTCACTGTTAGACCACCACCATTATAGAAACCTGGAAGCACTGTAAGACGACCGTTTCGTCCTGGTGTGGGACTACTTATTGGTGGCTGCGCGCATCCACGACTCCTGCACCTCGCACCTCGTGGATGCGCACTGCCACTGATGAGTAGTCTCATACCAGGATGAGACGGACGTCTTTCAATGATTCCAGGTTCCTACGATGGTGTGGTCTAACAATCAGTGGATTAATGATTTCAATGTGTAAACAACACTATTGAATTATGGTTGTTTGAAAGAATTATTGAATTGAGAGAAAAAAATTTTCAAACAACAACCAAAACAAATTCATAGCGAAGAGAAAAAACAACAAGAACACAAAAACCAATGATCAATAGCCATCAAAATCGATATTCATAATTCAAACACATTCATTATATTTGTATACATGTCAAGAGCTAGACTATGCAACAGATCAGTTGATTCACAAAACAGTATATTAACATGAAACAAAAGAAAGATTACTAAGGATAATCGCGAAGAAATGAAGTACTCAGTGCTCAGTGTAGTTAATGACTCTGTGGTGCGCGCTACTTATAAGTAGTATATGACGCGAGTGTCAACGTAATGTCTGGCAGCAGAAGATAGGGGAAGATCAAGCAAGAAAGGAAGAGTTAGAACACAATGGAATTTGTATGAAACACATGAATAAGTGAAATGTCAGACAATGCATTGATGATGGATTGAAGATTTGCAAATTAACCGTTTACGATTTGGTTTTCCTACTTTACTGAGTAACTCTGTAATTTTCGTTAAATACAATTCGGTAGCCCTCACTTGTGTTCTCCTCCACTACAACTCTTTTGAAACTGACATAAATTATAATAAGTTCATGAAACTTAGCATAGGCATGTAGTAAGTACATTTTAAAAAAATAATGTCAATTTTATTCACTCACCTAGCAGTATCTGGATTACTTCGAAGTATCATATACGCTTTAGTATAATGTCCTAAGACAAGTTCATGTTTAAACATTCGTGTCCATAAAGCAGCTTCTAATTCAGCTAAACGTGTATTAATTTCACATTGAGCATCATTATCTATTTTTATGACACAAAAAAAGTAGGATACATAAAGCATAACTAGAGGAAGATATAGTAGTGAATGGATTTACGCAACCGTGACAGGTAATGAGACGTCATCAAAACTGGAACTATCAATATGTCACATATACTAAAAATTGAACAATTATTAAGCTTTGCAATGAATTTGAGATGTACACACTGATATACAATAATTCGACTGAAAGGAAAATATGTCAGGAATGGGGGATGAACTATGGACAAACCGATGACCAGAAACATTACATTGAAAAAAAAAGGTTCCATACATATAAGATTTTAAAAAACGATTAAACAGCTTATTAATACTGCTAACAAGTCAAGATTCTGTGCACTTTTCCTCACCTTTCATTTGCACCTTTCTAGTTGCGTATGATTATATGTACGCTGCGTCTTAAACAGCAACTGTCATTCTAATGATTTTGTAGACATATCATATCATTAGAGAGTACCTAGGTTTTCCCTACATTGCTTACTAAATACAACCTTATGTATACAAGTGTTATGTTTGCGCTAATTACGATACAACTTGATAATCCGTAGGTATACCCGAGTGAATGAACTAACAAGCATACAATTCAAGCGTAATACGTGTACAGTACAAAACGTGTCCTTGAAAGAGTTATAAAATAGCACCCTACGAGAGAAAACTAATCAATGACGTTTAAGCTACTTCAAGTTGGAAACACAAACTGACGATAATAGGGGAGCTATAGGCACCAAACTAAGAAACTCAGAATTATATAAATCAATTATAAAATCAAGAGGTTTACACCAAAACAATTTCTAAGGATCTAGCTTCCGCAATGACAAGATTGATGGCTAATACATTGTATGCCCTAATAATAATATCGTACTCTTATAAATGCTCTCACCAATGATTATGAATTTCCAGTGCTCCATGTTATTTTAAATATCTCCAAGAAAAAATATCAAATCAAAATAAGGTAGGGACTACATTATTTTAAATAATATGTCCCATCTACATTTTATTGTTCCATTACTTTCCGTATTAATTTCTTTATGACTATCAAACGGTGAACATTTGCTTATTCTTTCCAGAGTGTACAAACTATGTAATGATTGATTGACTGATCAATCAATATTAATTTGAAAACAAACTATCATTTCATCAATGGTCAGTAAAATCGCTTAGACGTTAAGCGATCGCGCGCGAAAGGTCCCAACTCCGACTCCTACGTGCAGGGTCGTGGATGCGCGCGCTGATGGTGGGTCCAGTAATAGGATGGAATGGTTGTCCTGTGTTTTAGGGTTTCTAATGATAATCTAACTCTGAGCTAATCGTGACTCCAATGAAATCAAAACTGTAGTTTTTTTGGAGAAATACATCAAGCAAATATTGTGATTGTCATTACACAGAAATTGACTAGTCCCAGCAGTTGGATACTCCAGTTGAAATCTTTTCTCAGTTGACTTCATCTATGAGAGATCTTTGGTAATGAGTTAGTGGTTGATGTAATCAATTCATCACTAATCAGCAGTTTGAAGATTCAGAAGTCGCTCGACTTATTTCGCTTCACGAAACAAGGTAGTCGCTTTCAAAGAAGCAGGAAAACTAAAAGCCGACTACATGGACCCATACACGGTAATTGTGTTATAGAGGATTACAAATTGAGATCACTACTAAATGCCTGGTACCTGTCTAGTAGCCTATTATTTTGAATAATAGTGACCATTCTTTTAGTTAATCAATATCCAGTATCATTTGCAAAGAGATTAAGTTTTAGTGAAGCGTTTTCCCATTAACTCATGTATAGATTTTTATACTTGGTTTGGTGCCACACTCTACGTGAGGGTTAACAATACTAGTTGGTTGTCTGTTATGCTAATCTCTAGATACACTTAAAACTTTTACGGGTTCACCTTAGTCAATAAAAGCGAACGGGACAATGAACCAGATTCCATGTAGGCTGCTGTGATCCGATTGTCCCAATTGTACCAGCAAGAAGTCTTGATATAGTGTAGAGTGTATTCTACAAACACCCAGCCAGCACACAATGAATCCAAGCATTCAAATTGTGTTTATTTATACACCATAAAGATGTCCTTGGGACAGTCACAAAAATAGCACACTAAAATGACACAGTAACCAATCACAGCCAAGGGTTTTCCTGGTGGAAAATGTGATCTCAACTGATCGGTCCATAACATAAATCCAAAATAAAGATATTTATCAAGCGAGTTCCGGGGATCTAACATCCCCAACAGTCTAAACTGAAGTACGTAGAATCGAACTCGAAGCTGAGACTTCTAAGTTTAAAGTCGAGCACCTTACCCATTGAGCCATTGCTTAAAACTAATAAAACAAAGCTGTCAAAAACAAAGAACACTAGAATGAACAATTGTTTGCAATAAATTTGTCACAACGACCGAAATAGGGTATACTAATGAGTTGATTAATTTAAACTGTTGAGAGGTAGTGAACTTTTGTGTCTATCAAGTGCCTAAATATTTCTAAATTCTATCCTTTATAAACGGAAAAGACAATTTATATTAGGTTAAAATGATTAGTTGTGGGGTGCCCAGTTACAATCCATAATAACATCAACAAAAATCAATCATGTGAATAAGATATGGAGTTTTAATTAATGAAAACGTATAAATATAATCTGTAAAATAGTGTTAACCGGTTAATGATGAGAAATTCATGTAAATTGGGGAAAATTAATGTATAGATTAAGAATTGGGCAAGGATATTTATAACCAATGTCTAGTCTAAGTATATGGTAATCTAATTGTGGACTCAGGTAAACACAGACTAAACATAACTATTTTGGATAATTAAGTAAGGTCTTTAATAAATTATTTCGATAGTCACAATCTTGTTCCTTCAAGTAAAGTGTTTTTGAAAATTGTTACAAAACAGAAAACTTCATCTGTTTTAATATGGTGTTCCCTACGAACTGAGTGTTAAAGTAGGACGTTGTTCAATGATTTCATGATAGCTTTTCTAAACCAAACCGATACATGTTCACGAATATGTCTTCACAGTACAGCCTAAGCAACTAACATATGAAAGAGTTCGACGTCGGTAAGTTATAACTGATTTGTTGTGTAAGCACAGGTTTGGTTGAAGTCACATATAAAAGTTGTGTCAAATGTCTTTTCAATAAATCTTTCAAGTTGTACTAAAATGTTGTAGAGTTTCAAACAAAGGATATCTTCTTGATGACCTTGTGTTAGCGGGACACGTCCGAATACCTTCATTCTATCCCCAATCAAATGGTCAAGTGCAACGCTTTGTGAGTACATTTAAAAATGCTCTAAAAAATTTAAAGAGGATGGGACCATAGAAGAGATCTTGGAGAGGTTCCTGCTTATTTCTCGCACTACACCGAATCCTCAGACGGTTACCGGCGTCTCGCCAGTAGAAGCTCTACTTGGCAGGGAAATACGAACACATTTCGATGTCATCCGTCTTACGCCAGTTCGTAAGCCTCAACAAAACCTATCAAAGTAGCAGTACAATCGACATCATGGGACAAAAAGACGATTGTTCACGGTGGGTCAAAAAGTATTTGTTATGGACTATCGTGGAAAACATCCTACATGGACAGCTGATCGGATCTTGAAAAAGAAAGGGATTGTGATTTATGAAGTGTCAGTTGGCTCAGAAGTTTGGGTACGTTATGCTAACCAACTGAAAGCAACTTCGATAGCCAGCAAAGAGACTCAGTATCGAATACCTCTTGACGTTTTGAAATCAAAACGCCTGGAACAGGCACGTTAGTTTCTGTACAAGCAAAGAGTGATACTTCTTTACTGCCGAAAAGATGGACAAATCGAAAACACAAACCAGACACTCGGTTGCAGTTGAACCCTAACACCAGATCTTACGAATCTGCTCAAAGAGGAGGTGTTAGCGGGACATTGATTGGATTAAAGCATGTTCCATACACGAATGCGTTGTTGAACGCTAATTGCCTCTTTCGTATCCAACTAGCGTTAGTCGATACTGGGGGAACATTCTAGAATCTCCTCATGTCAAAACTATGAATATACTAACGTTTTTTCCTTTGGAACTTCTATCCTCCATCTAATTTTGTCATTGGATATATAATTTACTTCCTGTTCAACCGTGTTCTGATTTGAGAGAACGTCTCAAGTGAATTAGTGTCCGAGAATACTAAGCATTAGGAATAGCCGGGTTGTAATAAAAGAGAGAATCATAAATAAACAATAAAAAACGCAAAACTTTTAGATGATAATAGGACATTACAAAAAAAACACTTACCATCAACACTACCATAATTATTCTCAATGAATTCGGCCTGTTCTTTTTTTACTGAACCACATAGAAAACCGCCCAGATTATCATTCTCCATTATTCCACGTAAATTAGCTAACACAGAAGCTAAACGATGAGTTGATCTCAATTCATTGTTTGGATTTGTAAAATCTTTTGATTTGATGGAATTTTGATTTTCAGCTAATCGATTCAAACAGAATTCCGCAATATCAAGAATTTCCGGTACATAATTAGATACTTCAAATACAGACATTAACTAATAGAAAAAATAAACAAATGAAATTTAAGGGTTGAAGAAAATTGACAAAGATAAATGAATAATTGCATAGAATAAAATAATGTTGATCGATTTTACAGTTTTATTATGAATTGCGAGATTGTTGTGAAGATTGTTAAGTTTTATTTGTAACCATGAATCGATCAATGTTCGACCACCAGCATTAGAAACCTGGAAGCAGTGAAAGACGGCCGTTTCGTCCTGGTATGGGACTCATCAGTGGCAGTGCGCATCCACGACACCTGCACCCCGCGGGACTCGAACCCAGGACCTTCGGTATTGTGCGCGAATGCCACCTAACCGCTTGACCACTGAGACGATATCTAACGCTGTTAATGTCTAACTTGATCAAATTCACGGAGTTGCGCAACCTCATACCCTGTATACATCCGAACAGGTTTGAACTTCACTGGTCACGACCATTTATTTTTCATAAATCGTATCAAATCAAAATATCTACTGTTGTATTGTATAGTTTACTTCGCCCTGAAACGGTGTAAAATAATGCAATTCACTTGACAATTACACGGTTATGTAGTTGGTTTTTTTTATAAAACTACACGACTTGCATCGAACACTGACGACAATTAAATAACCAGCTGTCAAAAAATTGGTCATTTGAAATGAATATACAGTAGTAATAAAAAAAGGAAGACGTTCATCATACACAGATTGAAAAAGAGGTTATTGAATTCACTATCACCTATTCGTGAAACTAACGTACCTACCAAGGAGGAGAGGGTTTATGAAAATCAAACTTATTATTGTACATGTAGATGCGCTGATCAGATTTCATCCTCTCATTTAGCATTTCAATGTTACATGGAACACAGTAAGGACACTGACTAATATCGATCGGGTGTATAGTAACAATATGAAATAATGTGGAATTACAATGACATTGTCACCGAAAAGTAAACGTGAATAACTTGCATTTCATGTGTTTCTCAGCCTCTATGGCTATTCAGACGAACGGTCACGTTTTCAGACAGAATAAATAAGATTAGATGCACTAAAGCGATACCCAAAACAATGAGTAGAGAGCCGTTCTATAACTAATAAACTGAAGATCAGGTACCACTCTTGATAAGTAGTTAAGAAATGGCAAGTGTTGTTAACGCTCCCTAGTAGTCTTTTATTCAAATATAAAACGTTTAAGTACACAACTCAAACGAAAACATAAGTTCACACACTTAACAGCAAAATCTGGACGAACTTACTGGTTAATATACTGGGCTTTCATTTGCATGTTTGAATAATGCTCTACTTATTTAAACGAGTGAGTAGTATAACTACCTCCTCAGACAAGGTGCGGGTTTATAGTCAATTACGCGAATTGATATGATGTAAAACAGACAGGTTTATTTAGTCTAGGCAATAACATCTAGTTTGAATGAATTATTATTAAAGTGTGTTGAATATTCACCAGTGACCACCTTAAATGTTGTTAGAGGTGTGTGATCAATTACTGCCCGGCAACTCACACTATAGAAGGATACTTTTCCTTCAGGCAAGCTGGATGTAGTGTTCATGGTTGTATAAAAGAATAAGAGAAAATACCTTAAAAGTGATCAACTGCTGTCTTTTTGCAAATAGTTTTAGGTATGTTACCTTCGTACTTTCAAGACTTTACGCCCAGTAATGGGAACGTGTAGAGTAATATGAGATGCGTTATTTTAGGCTTCATCTTTTTATAACCTCGTTTCGTTGTGCGAAGGCAGTATTCACTGTAGATGTCGGTTATCTCTGATAGAAACACTGTAATGCCATCATCATAGGATATTTGTGATAGCAGTGTAACTTCGTCCTCCGACTTTAAGTCGCTGCGTTTGCTAATCCCTAATTGACATGCATACCATCGTAAAATCTAGAGCAACAAATATGTCACACAATACAGTCTTATTGAGTGATCATGACAGACAAACCTAATCACCGTATATCAAGGTTACAGCTACAGTCCAGTCTGCCACACACACACACATACACAAAAGATGAAGCTTACTTTCATCAAAAATCGTATTTGTACTTCAACTGGAGAAAGTGAATGCCCACCAGATAGACCACCATTACTGTTTCCTTTCCCTGTTAATAATCCATTTATACAGAATAATTTTAATAATGAAAATTTTTTTGGAAATAATATTGGAATTAACAATTTGGGCACAAAATGATTGATTGTCACTGGTGATTCGATCATTGTTGATACAATCGAATGATGATGATGATGTTGATGACGGGAAATGGATAATTCTGTTAAATTATTCACAAATAATTGTGTATAACAATATAACCAATTACTTGCAATAGTAAAATGTTTCTTAGCTGATGTAGATTCACTAAAATTAAAAAAAAACGAAAAAGAAAAGAGGCTAAATCAATGGACACATTGAATGAATTTTTCTTCTCTTTAGTCAGTCAGTCAGTTGCAACGTAGAACTTCATACGTACGTACATAAGTTCATGTTGCCACATTATTAACACAGAGACGCAAATGTCAAATCAAATCCCATAGTAATAAAGATAGTAGAGGTAATAATGGTAATGAAGAAGACTAGGGTTTGAAGATATTATTCAAGAAGTATAATTCAGTGAGATAAGTTTTTGGAAAGACAAAACTAGAGGTGTTGACGAATTCAGAAGATTAGGATTTGAGAGATCACAACGAATGGATGCACCTGCCCCATGTCGTTCAGGGTCTCTAACCATCGGTGTCTTTCGTCTCGTGGACCCCAACCAGGTAGTCTACATCTACCAACATGACTCAGTCCACTTCTTAGTGACTTCATGGATTTGTGCCATGTTTTGGTCTGGCCGCCACTAGCTTTCTTCCAACCTACTCCCACACCACAAAACATAGCTCGACGAGGCAGTCAGTGGTTAGCCATACGTAACACATGTCCCAACCACCTCAACTGATGAAGTTTCGTTATTTCATCTATTGATTTGCTCACACGGTTGTCCTACGATATACGAGCAATGCTTTTTAAACATCTATGATCGAATACTAGTAACCTACGAACATCTTCTACTCTTAACGGCCATGTTTCACATCCATATAGGAGAACGGAACGAACTGCTGCGCAGTACACCCGCCCTTTGGTTAGCGAACGGATATCACGCCTACGCCATAAGTGACGCAGGTTGACAAAAGCCAATCGAACTTTCTGTATCCGCGCTGAGGTTTCGTCACTCACCAGGCCATCGGCAATTTCAGTGGAATTTTGTCGGTTGTTGTAGTCATTTGTCAAGCTTTCAATGCTTCAATGAGAATAATCTTATCAGTGTATACTTCAAAGAGAAGTGAACTAGAAAAATTGATTGATAGCTGAAAAGTAGTTGATTATCAACCATGATTGTGAGACAAAACAATCACCACAACAAACACACATACAAATAACAACCATAACGTTATGGAAATACCAGGTCAATACACTAGGTCAACAGAACAAGCTCTGAGTTGATTGTGATCAAATTCTAATAGTATACTTATCTTAGAATTACGTACTGAAGATGATATCGTTCAATTGGAACAATGAACGCTTCACAATGAAACGATCTAGTTTAAAGGCTATATATCATACCATACCATAATATTAACATCTTTATCCTGAATTACAAATATTCTTCACTATTTTAAGTATAATTTGTAATGTACATAGAAAATAGATGTATAAATTCAATCAGAATTAATTGGTTATTGGCGTATTTTAAAATATCATTTCATAAATGACCATGTGACGAATCCACAATGACCATAATACAACAATTTGACTAAATCATCCACTTGATAGTATTGTGGTGCGAGCTACTTCTAAGTAGTATATGACGTGAGTGTCAACGTAATGTCTGGCAGCAGAAGATGGGGGAAGATCAAGAAAGGAAGAGTTAGAAAACAATGGAATTTGTATGAAACGCATGAATAGTGAGTGACAATGGATTGAAGTTTTGCAACAGGAACAGTCCAGTTCGATATGATGGACTGATATTTTGCAAATTAACGATTTACAATTTGGTTTTCCGATTTTACTGAGTAACTATGTAATTTTCGTTAATTACAATCCGGTTACCCCACCTGTGTTCTCGTTCACTACAGTATTAGTAACGAGGACCCGACCGTAGCTGCTAACTTGACCTAGTGATTGGGATTGCTTATAGTGATGAATCAGCCGAGCCATATTGGTTGGAATATATGTTCCTGTAGGTTCTACCATGCCAGGCAGGTCGACTGGAGAACGATAAAACTAAAAGCAGCCAAGTATAGCCGGCCTCAAGCATTTTTCCCTCGGATTCTGCAGCGACGCTCCCAGATCGCTAAGACCATCAGTAAGCTAACTTCCTTTCAAGAAAAAATACGCTTCCACAGTGTGAGCACTCGAGAAGTGTGTACAAAAGACAGTGAAATAACCCTACATTCATGGTATATGAAACAGTTGACACAATCGAATGCTGACTCAGTAACCTGAAGGTGGTTCTGCATTTCAGTTCTCGATGTTGCCATAGACGAGTACTGTTGAACCCCATGAACCAAAAGTTCATGGGGTAAAACCGGATAATAATAACAACCACAATCAAAAAAGAACCTTTTCTTTCAAATCAATAAACATCAATCACTTACCCTAACCATAATTTCGCTAAACCAATGCATAAATGAACAAAACTATAGTCTTTTTGCCACCACCAAGAAATTCTATCGTTGTCATTATTATTATCATCATCATCATCATCATCACCATTATTAACATCATTATAAGTAGTATCGATAATATTTTGAGATTGCCACAATTCACCATCATCATCATTGATATTGATTAAATCTGGAAAACGATACAATTGTTGCCAAATTCTTTGATCTTCATAATTATTGAGAATATCATGAAATTGTTTTCTAGCATTTCTAATCATTCGAGTTGATTGGGATGGAGGCAATAAAAGCATACACAATTTGATCACTTCACTTGACTAATTTGGAATATAAAAAACGAACAGAAGTAATGAGTGAAATGTGAAAAGAAATTAACAAAAGGAGACAGAATATTATAATTTACAGTCTTTTATGTATACCAACTAAGACAGATTACCAATTTCAATGAAGTCGGTTGGTCAGAGTCACAACGTAGAACTTCGTACGTACGCACGTACATCAGTTGAAGTTTCCAAATCACATCACCACAGAGATGTGATTATCAATTCAAATAACATAACAGTAGAGAAAGTAGAAATATTAGCAGTAAACAAAATGACTGATGATCGAATATATAATCCGAGATGTATACCCCAAAGGAATCAATTGAAAAATAGGAAAAAACGGTCATCAGGAATTCAAAAGATTAGGATTTGAGAGAGCTAAACGAATGGATGCACCGAAGCCTTTACAAACGATTTTGAGCCATGTCGTTGAAGGTCTTTAACCATTGGTGACTTTCGTCTGGCGGACCCCAACCAGGTAGCCTACATCTACCAACATGAGTCAGTCAAACCGTCAGTGATTTCATGGTTTTCTGCCATGCTTTGGTTTGGCTGCCCTTAGCTTTCTTCCAACCTACTCCCACGCCACAAAACATAGCTCGTCGAGGCAGTCGGTGGTTAGGACTGTGTAACACCTGCGTAATCACTTCAACTGATGAAGTTTCAATACCTAGCACCCATATCCTAACGATAGCATTGCTTACTCGGTTGTCCCAGGATACACGAGCAATGCTTCGAAGACACCTATGATCGAAAACCAGTAACCTACGAATAACTTCTACTGTCACTGGCTACGATTCGCAGTCATAAAGTACGACAAAGCGAACTGCTGCGCAGTAGACTCGTCCTTTGGTTAGCACACGGATATCTTGTCTATGCCACCAATGACGCAAATTGGCAAAAGCCAATCGGGACTTCTGTATCCGCGCTGAGACTTCGACAGTCACCAGGCCATCAGCACTGATAAGACTACGAGATAAGTGAAGCCGTCAACACGCTCAACTGCTTCACTCCCTATCACTAGTTCGGGTACCGATGCAACCCAATCTTGAAGCAATATTTTGCATTTCGAGGGGGAAAACCGCATCCCGAACATGCTCGCATTGTTTCTTAGGGTAGTCAGAAGATTGCATTTTGTCAGCGTCTTTACCGAATAAAACTATGTCATAAGCATACTCTAAGTCAGCAAGCGAGGTTCCTGGTAAAATGTTCACTTATGATAAATCAGACGAAAATAATGTTATTTCTAAAAGCATATCTATGCCGAATTTACACAAGAATGAAGAAAGTGGACAGTCCTATCGAACACTACTTGAAGTAATCGATTCTCTCTCTCTTGCTCTCCCTTGTATATGAAATTTACCGCTACAAAATCAAGTATATTTCTTGTTAAAATAACTAAACTGGATTTGCCAAAAAAAATTACAGATGAATGAATAGAATGCTAATCAATGGATAAACGAAACCGAATTAATAAATGAAGAAAAAAACACCCGGAATAAATTGATTTCAAAAGACAAGATCGTTTTAACTAGAAGAATATGCATTTTTCTTATCCAGTAATATTGCAGTTTTATAAACAAATTATTCACAGGAAAATAAACGTGATTAAATTCCATAAAAGACTGGAAACAAAACAGATTTATTGGTCACTCACTGTTAGGATATTTACAAAAAAAATATCCCAAAAATTATTCTGTTTAGTCTAATTCTATCATTGAACGTAAAATCGGAGATTTGCACACTTTTCACATATTTCACATGTCGTTTCCTATTGGTCCATATTTACAGTCAGCCTTACTGTATTAATATGCATTGTCTGTAAAGTTCTAGGCTGTAATCTGACCCGGTAAACAATGTTAATCCGACGGTTTTGGTTTCTGATATATTCGGGATTCGAGAAACAGAATTTGCAGTCGTACTAGAATATCTGAAGTTGGTCAATTTTTAGAATTCCGAGTAGCCATATCGAGGGCTACAATACTCGCATACTTACTAGTGAATTAAAAAATTGATCTACTACTGATAAGTAATTCAAGGCAAAACGTTGAAACCGATGAAGAATTTGAAATGAATGACGTTTAGCATTTTTTTTAAAAATAGTTTATCTAAAACAGGTAAAACGAGATCCGATAATCTCAGTTGGATTTATTTTGTTTTAATAAGATACGTTTTGTCAAAACGTATAGATGAACGAAAGCATGCTCAAGATACTTGTATTCATTGAAAGCGCATTATCTCAACCTAGCCATTTTGAAGTTGGTTAATAGCTATCAGTAGGATCCATAATGCACATGTTATGATGTGTGATGTTCGAGATCTGAATGTCAGCCATGCGCTAATCTCACTGCCGAATCGACTACTTTGAGCAAAAAGGAAAGAGTGGAAGTCAAAGTCTATTTAACTACCGAACAATATACACAAATACACATTTATATAAATGTGTTCTTCCCCCTTAAAAATTGAATCTGTTTCCTGACCGAGTGTATGCATTTGTCCTTTAGGATATTTCTGATTATCATCGAGGGACCTAATTTGGCCACATCTGATTACATCATAATATTAGCAGAGTATTTCATTCTATATGAGATTCGTCAGTAGCATATTCAAGAAACCCAGTGATACTTACACTGAAACTTGGACTTCATATCGTTCATTTCAAACGTTAGAGGTGCATTCACATCAAACTATTCAGTCTCAACACAGACACTAACTTATTCTACGTGTACAATAGTGATGCTTATTATCATTAGTCAAAGCTTGAACTAACCCGTTAATTGATATTCAAGAACGTCTTGATACTGTCAAACAGGACGAAACGGGTATCCAGGATTTCAGTACTAATCAGACTGTATAAATTCTTAAAAATGTGTTACAAAGAGGCAATATATATATATATATATATATATATATATATATATTCATCTTTTACTAGTTCCTATACAATCTAAAATTGACTCAATCGAAAACTTACATGTCCATACCATAGTAACAACCAGAGAACATAGACAATTCCTTGTCCACCATCTGTTGTAGGAGATAATAATCTTGGAAATTCTAATAAAACATGATTAGTGAATTCAAGCCAACTAGAAAAAGTGTAGGATGAAGTGTACGCTTTCGTAGATGATGATGATGATGATGATGATGATGAAGAACACAATTTCAACCAATCCCAATTCAACCAGATTTGATCAAATATTGTCATACCAGATGGTGTTTGATTGATTGCTGATACTGATAGTAGAGTAGTAGTATTAGTAGTAGTATTAGTAGAATTCAAACGCTCAGTAGAAAGGAGAATATCATGAATCCCGAGAATATTCAAATGATCTCTGATGATAGATCTATGAATAGAAAAACAATTAGAGATTAAATTTGTAATCATACACACTACATATACGCTCTCTACTGAAGATACCGGTTCATTTTAGCCATGATGGAATATGAAAATAGGTGAATTTCATAGTTTTCATTATGGTCTAATCTTAGTTAAACAATGCTTAAAACCAGGAACCACTGGATTGTTGATTCTTCTTAGTGCAGGACTTTAGCTGTGAGTATCCATGACTCCAAAGGGAGTCGAGCCCAAAGACTTGAAGGTTCGCAGTGAGCGATCATCCTTTAAACTACTGAGTTAGTATACAATGGCTTACAGTTGTAACCCCGTGAGAACTGAAGGCTCTGAGTTAGATCCCCAGTAAGTTCATGGATGCCTACTGTTGAGTAGTACCATGCTGGGACGGGAAAACTGTTCACTACTCCTCTTTTGTCTCTATAGTTTTCTACATAAAATCCGTGAATAATAAAAACTACCGAATACTGTTTCATTTAGACCTTAACATTATCAACAATAACTAATTCACACTAGCTAGCTAACAGACAAACTTCAACCTCTCCATGAACCATAATCTTGACGTATTCTGAAGGACAGTCTGCTTGTAAACCGAGTCATAACATTTGTTGGGTTTCCTTCGCATAATTTATGCTTGATTACTTTGTGAGAGATTGTTGATGCCGCACTTTGGATATCAGACTAACTTGAAATGATGATAATTTATTGTAGAACCATTTCATCCAATGAACTTCAAAAACTTTTTTGAATGAAGGAAAAATACAGTTTAGAAGAGATTAACATCAAAACACTTATATACATGAGTACTTCAGTGAAAAGTACTCAATGTTATAACGCTTAATTTTAACGCTGAATATTTTGTACGCAGATATGAGTTTGTAATGCCACTTTGTGCAAAAAACGTTATTAGGCTTTGTGGTACAGTAATTGGTTATTTTTTTTAAAAAATATTCAGAAGTTACAACTGATTAACATGAGAATGATTGTAACCATAGGCATCGTTTGTTTTTTTGGTGATAAAGAGAAAATTTGAGGTTTTCTATGAATTATCTGGTAAAAGTAAGTTAGAATGATAACTTTGAACGATGTGCTCAGTTGATCAGAAAATAGAGCTTAGTTATGAAAAAAAAAATAATAAAATTACACTACATGATCAGTGAATTAATGATTACAACATAAGCCTTAAAATCTTACGGTCGACTGCTAGACTTAGGTGGGATGATAATTTATAGTCGTATGACGATGAATACTACTTATGCAGTATTATTATGTGGTATTATTTAATTCTATCAAATACCACCTATAACTCCGCCTGAAGCCCTTCTGAGGTAATGGTCGGTCTCAAGCCTGGATAAAAGGGGAGGGTTGAACGTGGAAATCTAACGTAGAAATCGAATACGCTAACTGATCGGCGACCAATGTTCCATTAGGAGAAACAAGCCTAAGTAAGTAGACCAAGTACCTATAATTATTCAACATTAAATATCAATAATCTCCTCATATAGTTAGCTTGTGTTACAACAAAAAAGATTTAGGATTATGAAATGAATCATACTGTCAGACAAAAAAATGCAAAACAACGTTAAACTTGATGACCAATGAAGTTCAACCCTATCGGGCGCAGGCAGTAACTACCAAAGACAAATTGGGTGACGTCGCGCAAAACCTCTAGATTGTTCAAAATTTAGACACTAACATCGTTGGAAGTCGGCCCAGTGATTAGGTGTTCTCGCGCGCAAGGTCAAAAGTCCTGAGTTCGAATCCTGCGAAGTAGTGCAGGAGTCATGGATGCGCACTGCCACTGATGAGTAAGTCCTACACCAGGACGAAACGGCCGTCTTTTACTGCTTCCAGATTTCTAATGGTGGTGTGGTCTAACAATAATTGATGCATGATTTCAATGTGTAAAAAACAAACTGGTGTTGGATCGATGACAAAGAAACAATGGTGAGCTTAACATGGAAATTGATTGTTTACAGACACCTAAAGATAGCCAATCTCATTGTAAACAAAATAAATGAACACTACATATTTAAATGACAGTGATATGTTGATTCAAAACATTTATCCAACTTACAATTTCTCCATATCAGGTGTAGGTCGTAAACGAGTTATTGTTAAAGTATGCAGAAATTCAAGACTATGAATTAATGAGACAAGTCGATTTTTTGCATGACTATGCCAATGAACATTGACACATTTTGATTGTCTGCCACCTAGACGATGATCATCACCATCCTCGTCCTCGTCGTCGCCGTCAACATTGTCGTCGTCATCCTCCTCTTCATCATCATCATCGTCATCACCAACATTAGTTTTATCCGATAATATAATTAAATCATTTGAAGCAAGCTCATTACGTCGTATTAGAATTAATAAAGCCAATGCAAATAAAATACGCGTTTCAGTAGAATAACCAAGTGATAAACGTACAAATTCTATACTTGAATTAGAAAGATTTCTAATGAATTTTTTATTTCCACCTTTATCAACTTAAGTGGTCAGTTGTTGAAATGAAGTAATTTGTTGTGATAAGTGAAAGTACAAAAAAAAAAAAACAAAGGAATTTTCAATAAAAGTTATGATATTTGAGAATAAAAATTAGACAAAGTTAAGAATTAAAATGCTGTTGTTAGGAAACGAGTACTAGGTAAGGATGGTAGATCAATAGATGAAGTGGTGAAACTTCATCAGTTGAGGTGGTTAGGACATGTGTTACGTATGCCTAACCACTGACTGCCTCGACGAGCTATGTTTTGTGGTGTAGGAGTAGGATGGAAGAAATCTAGGGGTGGCCAGACCAAAACATGGCACAAATCCATGAAGTCATTGACAAGTGGACTGAGTCATGTTGGTAGATGTAGACTACCTGGTTGGGTTCCGCAAGACGATAGTCACTAATGGTTAGAGACGTTGAACGACATGGCTGAAAATCGTTTGCAATCGCGCAGGTGCATCCATTCTTTGAGCTCTCTCAAATCCTAATCTTCTGGAATCGTCAGCACCTCCGCCTTTTTCTTTCTAACCTTATCTCACTGAATTATACTTCTTGAATAATATCTTCAAACCCTAGTCTTCTCATTACCATTAATACCTCTACTATCTTTATCACTATGGGATTTGATTTAACATTTGCGTCTCTGTGTTAATAATGTGGTATGGCAACATGAACTTATGTACATACGTACGAAGTTCTACGTTGCAATCGACTGACTGACTGAAGATTTAAAATAAATAATAATATATTGTTATTTTATAGTTTATATCACTAACTGAGATAAATTAGACTAACCAATGAGAACCAGAAAGCGTTGGAGTCATTTGTTCTTAGTAAATATGAGACACCATGTTAGTACTTATTCATGACTCATTACATCAACCCACATCTTGGACGATGGACAATTCTTCGAGAAACAGTCCAGCTGGTCTACTGCCCCCGTGACATCGATCAGACTGTTCTGTCCCCCAAAAGCAGTGACGACTGATCCACGTAACAAACAGGAAGTCCGCAAGTAACTCCAACTCCAGCCCAGATTACTTACCCTGGTCCTTTTTAAAGATGGAGGTGGCCTTATGACTACGAAACTGAATGAGTTGTTTACAACTGTTTGGCAATTAGAGTGTTCCTAGAATGCGTCAATGTTTGAGCCTATCTCTAAAAACGGTTCACATTATCTATGCAACAACTATCGAGGAATAAGTCCACTATCGATTCTGCCCAAATTATTGGCGTCCGTCACGCTTCATAGATTGTTCAAAACTCGAGAAAGATTGACTCGCGAGGTCCAGGCTGGTTTTCGCTCTTGTCGAGGATGCATTGGTCATATGTTAGCTCTCCGCCAAATGTTAGGATATCGCCACACTCTTTTTACATCAGGATAGTCTTTGATTCGTTGGACAGGACTGTTCTCTGGGATTTTCTAATGAAGAAGGGTGTGTATCAGAAGTGTATTAACATCTTAGAAGCCCAATATACAAACACCTAAGAAAGAGTGAATGCAGACAATCACCTCGCCTCATCGTTTCATTTAAGCAGTGGAGCTACGTAGGGTCTCCCAATCCTACCACTCCGCTTCAATTTCGTCATCGATGACATTCTGGAAACAGCTCCGAAGGATATAACGGTGTGGATCTGTAACATTGAGAAAGACTTTTCAAAATTGAGTATGGGGATGATAGACTTGATGTGCAATGATACCCAAGCCATGCAATACGCACTCAATCAGTTGACAATCAGTGTCCATGGGTATGGGATGTACTTTGCGGCTTCTGAGTGCAAAATACTTATACAAAACTGGCAGGATCCTTGTTACGCTCGTCTCTAGGTATGCTTAAACTATTATGAGTTCATCTTAGTCGAATAATGAGAACAAAACAATGTACCAGCCTTCAGGTAGGCTACTGTGATCCCTTGACCAAATTGAATCAGCAAGAAGTCTTGATATAGTGTAGAAATTGTATTCTACAAACACCCAGCCAGCACACAATGAATCCAAGCACTCAAATTGCGTTTATTTATACTCTATAGAGACATCCTTGGGACAGTCACAAAAATAGCACACTAAAATGACACAGTAACCAATCACAGCCAAGGATTTTCCTGGTGGGAAATGTGATCTCAAGGTCAACTGATCGGTCCATGAAATAAATCCAAAATAAAGATATTTATCAAGCGAATTCTGGGGATCTAACATTCCCAACAACCCTGAACCTACACTCACTCTCGGTAGTTAGCGGATAGAAGTAGTGGGAAATTTCGTATCTATCTGGGTAGCTTTGTGAGTGCTGATGGAGTAAGTGATGAGATCGCTTCACGTTGTACAGTGAAAGCCAAATAGGTTTATGCCTATTTGGGTCATCTTTGGCGCCTTCTTAGGGTTAGTCTAGCTCTAAAGGGTTGGGTTTACAACGCATCAATAAGAGCAGCTTTGCTTTACATTGTGAAACCCGATCTCGGGTAGAAGACGTGGGTTCTACCGTAACTTTCGTTTATTTTCTTCATATAAGTAAGAATTCTTTCTGGTTGTATTTTCTCTAACTGAACTGTTTCTTTTGGGGCACAGTTTTGGAGGTTTTGTGTTTTTACACATTTGAAATCATCAATCAATCATTGTTGGACCACCATTAGAAACCTGGAAGCACTGGACGGCCGTTTCGTCCTAGTATGAGACTCCTCAGCAGTGCGCATCCACGACTGCTGAACTGTTTCTCCCACAACTATTACTATGATTTTATTCTCATACACTAATTTCTACTCAATTTTTGTTATACTGATTAGTCTTTCTCTATCTCTTCATAAAACTCATTTTCATTGTGTAGCAGATATATATTTTGACAGAATTCTGCATCAACTATTAACTTACTTCTTTCTCCAACAGATCTACTATTATTATACCATGATTGATCAATGATTTCCATATCTTCATACATTACTGAATTAGTCTCAGTATCAAATAAACTTTGTAAAGATTGAATACTTTTATCCATAATATCACAATTGTCTAGAAGAGATATTAAAGAGATGACAGCAGTAAGATATGAATTGGATACAGAACCAGTAGAAAATGGACTTTTAAATTTCACCGAGGAAATAATCGGTGGTGGTAGCCAACATTCATTGATTTGATCAAGTTGTTCACTGTAAAAAAAATATTAACACATATGGATGAATTGAAGTGAAAATTAGTACAGTTATTTGAAATAATAATGATATTTTGAAAGGTATCAATTGAACCTGTGTGGTGCGCGCTACTTATAAGTAGTAGTATATGACGCGAGTGAAAACGTAATGTCTGGTGGCAGTAGAAGATGGGGGAAGATCAAGAAAGAAAGGAAGAAGAGTGGGAACACAATGGAATTTGTATGAAATGCATGAATAGTGAGTGAAATGTCAGACAATGGATTGATGATGATGGATTGAAGATTTGCAAATTAACCGTTTACACGATATGGTTTTCCGATTTTACTGAGTAACTCTGTAATTTTCATTAAATACAATTCGGTTGCTCTCACCTGTGTTCTCCTTCACTACACAGATATTTATGTGAAGATAAATACTTACTACATAATATTCATCAAAAAAAATGAAGTAGTTCAAAAGTCACAATGTAGATTAGTCAGTTATATTGGTTAATGAAAACTAGAGAACTAGTATAGAAAACAATCTATCTTATATAGAGGATAGGACATATTAACCCGTGTAGGGACAACGAAAAGACGATGATTTAGTAATTTTAGGAGATTTTCAGTCTTACAAAGACTGAATTTTAAAGAATTGTATGCATCTCACTCAATTTCTTCTCATTTAACTAAACGTTCAAAAATGTCTACGTCTATTTGATCTGAAATAATTGTACATTTAAGTCTTCCAAAATAAAATTAGGTATACTTTCTAATGGAGCTCTGAACTAGGAAATCAAGTGGAACAGAAATATTGCGGCAAGGATATTGAAAAGTATTTTAATTGAATAGTACCTCAGTAGTTAGGGAGTTGGACTTTTCAGACATTATGTTCCAGGTTCAAGACCTGTTTTATCTAACTTGGTCCGGGCAATCGGGTACTATCAAAATCGATCATATTTAGAGTGTTGTTTATGACTAAGCATAGGGTGAATGATTCACTGAATAAAATTACCAATCACCATATGTACAGTGCTATCTATATATGACATTTTGAATTGAAGTTGAACACTGGAATTAAATGATGATTTACGACTTATGTATTGTAACGTGTTCAGATTCGCTAACTTCAGCTTAACAGTAAAAACAAAGAGTCAAACATGCATGATTTGAAAGAAACTAGCAAATGTATATCTCAGTTGTTGAGATGCCTCTACTTTGTAGCGTTTCTTCTCAACAATGACATAAAATAGTTTGATTACATTGGTAACCGGATAGATTTAACTGCCAAATAAGCAAAACAGTGTTAATAACTACAATGGATACCGTATTTGCCTGTGAACAAGGATTCAGAAAAAAAGAAGGACAAAGTCCCCTCAACAGACACTTACATTATTTGTTCAACTAATACCAATGGTCTGATGTTTACATTAGATTTTGTACGACCAAAAAGACTAGCTTTCCAATGAAGCCAATTAGGATGAGCTTGGAGAATATGCAAAATTTTTCTACAGTCTGTTGTCAGATCAATAATGTTTTGTGTATTGATTTCGGTATCAGGATGGGCTAAAAGAGAAAAGAGATAAAATCCACACAGAATAATTAGGCATACATAATATACCAACATCTATATAAGATAAGCTCACTAAGACTATAATCATTCTAAACATTTACGATTTCCAATTATAGGCTGCAAATTATCTCATCAAAATCAGAGACAAGGAAGTCTACACATCTCCCAAAGGAGTTACAAAAAACAGCATACTATATCAAGAAGAGGTTTTATGTCTTTTTTTAACTAGCTCCAGATTTATTTCAGCTTACATTCATGCTATTTAACAGTCACTCAGTCAGTTGCAACGTAGAACTTCGTACGTATGTACATAAGTTCATGTTGCCATACCACATTATTAGCACAGAGATGCACATGTCAAATCAAATCCCATAGTGATAAAGATGGTAGGGTTATTAATGTTGTAATAAAGAAGACTAGAGTTCGAAGATATTATTCAAAAAATATAATTCAGTGAGATAAGATTATAAAGACAAAGGTAGAGGTGCTGACGATTCCAGAATATTAGGATTTGAGAGAGCGCAAAGAATGGATGCACTTACGCCATTGCAAACGATTTTGAGCCATGTCGTTCAAGGTCTCCAACCATTGATGACTTTCGTCTCGCGGACCCCAAACACGTAGTCTACATCTACCAACATGACTCAGTCCACTTGTCACTGACTTCATGCATTTCTGCCATGTTTTGGTCTGGCCGCCCCTAGCTTTCTTCCAACCTACTCCTACACCACAAAACATAGCTCGTCGAGGCAGTCGGTGGTTAGGCATACGTAATACTTGTCCCAACCACCTCAACTGATGAAGTTTCACCACTTCATCTACTGATCTGCCATCCTTACCTAGTACTCGTTTCCTAACGACAGCATTGCTTACTCGGTTGTCCAGCGATATACGAGCAATGCTTCTTAAACATCTATGATCGAATACCAGTAACCTACGAACATCTTCTACTCTTAACGGTCATGTTTCGCATCCATATAGGAGAACGGAACGAACTGCTGCGCAGTACACCCGCCCTTTGGTTAGCGAACGGATATCACGCCTACGCCATAAGTGACGCAGGTTGGCAAAAGCCAATCGAGCCTTCTGTATCCGAGCTGAGATTTCGTCAGTCACCAGACCGTCAGCACTGATGAGACTCCCTAGATAAGTGAAGCGGTCTACACGCTCGACTACTTCACTCCCTATCACTAGTTCAGGTGCCGATGCAATCCAGTCTTGAAGCAACATTTTGCATTTCGACGGGGAAAACCGCATCCCGAACATGCTCGCATTGTTGCTTATGGTAGTCAGAAGACTCTGCATTTTGTCAGCGTCTTCACTGAATAGAAGTATGTCATCGGCATATTCTAGATCAGTAAGCGAATTTCCTGGTAGAAGGTCAACCCCTGAAAAATCTGAAGAGCTTAATGTTAACTCTAAGAGGATGTCTACGACAAAGTTGAACAAGAATGGAGAGAGTGGACAGCCCTGACGGACACCACTTGATGTAGAGAATTCAGATGACATTCGCCATATGCTCTCACCCGACCAGTGGTGTTCGAGTAGAGTGCTTGTATAAGGTTAATGTACTTCTTTGGTACACCTTTCAATGACAGACACTGCCACAGAACCTCACGATCCACTGAGTCGAATGCCGCCTTAAGGTCCAGGAACACGACTATTGTCGGACGTCTAAATGTGTGTCTGTGTTCCAGGACCTGTCGTAGTGTGAAGATGTGGTCTATACAACCACGTCCAGGTCGAAAACCAGCCTGGTTTTCTCGAGTCTGCTCTTCACGAGCTCTAGTTAGACGTCTAAGTATAATCGAGGCTAACAATTTAGAAACTATATTAGTTAAACTTATTCCCCTGTGATTGTCACAAGAGGACTTCTGTCCTTTCTTGTAGATTGGGACAATTAGCGACTGAGACCAGTCAGATGGGATTACGTCCATTTCCCAGATTCTACCTAGGATCTCGGTCAGTTTAACCGTTAAAACTGGACCACCATCCTTAAACATCTCGGGGGTAAGCCTATCGGGACCTGCCGCTCTACCTCTCCTTATATTTCCTATAGCTTTCTCAACTTCATGTAGACTGGGAGGACTTAAATCGATTTGACATTCAGGATAACTGGAGATCGTGGGCAACCGGAGTAGGGCTGAAGGCCAGTTGAACTGATCCCTAAAGTGTTCTGCCCATCGGTCCAGCCCTCTAGATTGAGAATGGATAATAAGACCATCCTTTTCCGAGATAGTCTCACTCACATTCGGGTTCTTATACCGGTTTCTTTGATAAGGCGGAAAAGTTGTCTAGTGTTGCCGATCGCCGCTGCCTTTTCCATCGCTTTTGCTTTCGCCACCCACCACTGTTCACGGTCGTTACGTAGGCTTTTTATAAGTTTGCACCTAAGCTGACTACGCTCTTCAACATGTTCAGAGTCAGGTGGGATGCGTTTTCGAGCATCCATCAGTTCGGTGGATGCGACTGAAATCCACTGCTTCATCCTAGCATTATGGTTTACCTTGCTAGCAGATACCATTGCTGTTTCCACAGCCTTCTTGATATGATTCCAACCTGCTTCAGGATGGGAATCACTTGCATGGCCACCTAACTGTTTTTCTAGTTCCTCCTGAAATATTTTCTTAGCTTGATTATCATCAAGTAAAGCCCTAAGAGGCTTCCTTACGGTGTCTTTCCTACGTCCAGCAAGCCTCAAACAAATACGTGCTCGCACTAGGGCATGATCTGAATCTAAACATGTGCCCCAGAACGAGCGACAGTCCTCTATCGAACCCCTCCATCGGTGGCTGATAGCGATATGATCTAGTTGTGTCCAACGTTGAGACGACTTCGGGGGTCGCCAGGTCAAAAGGTGTTTTTCCTTATGCTTAAAACTAGTGTTTGCTAGAAATAGTTGGTTATCTGAGCACAGTTGCAACAGACGGTCACCATTGTCTGTTCTTTGAGCCGCGAGACCGTAACATCCACCTAGGTGTCTTTCCTTTTCACTTAGTCTACCTACTTGTGCATTGAAGTCACCAGCCATTATAACTATATCAGAGCGCTTAACTTTTTGGAGGAGGTCCGAAAGCTTTCTGTTAAACTCATCTTTTACATCATCTGGGCTGCAGTCAGTGGGGGCGTAGGCTGATATGACGAAGAGGCAACGGCGAGTGTCCCTATCTTTCCGAGTCCTTACTGTCCCGTTGAGTCGGACGGCGCACAAGCGACTATCTACAGGGATCCAGTCAAGGAGAGATTGTTCTGCCCTACGACTCGATGCTATACCTACACCGGCGAGGCCCCTAGAAGCAACATCAGGGCTACCGGATACACGAAGGGTAAATCGAGCTGCTTCTTTATCTTGACATGGTGAGGTCAAATGAGTGATGCTACTCGGATCCTGTATGTGCGTTTCCGAGACGCAGCACACATCGATTGAGCGAGATTCTAAAGTCCTAGCTAATGATGCCTGTTGCCCTATTTGACACAATGTCTGGACATTGAATGCTCCAACATGTAGTTTGGAACGGGGTTTAAGGAGACCAGGAACGACGTTTCGCAAACTCGCATCGTTTGCATTAGCTGTGCACTGTAATAAATGAATGTGAGAAGAGTTAGTTGTGGAGATAAGAGAGGTATTAGGGAATGTAGGAAGGATTTGATTTTGAACAATTTTGTCTCGTGTGCTGTTGCGGGTATGAGGGCGGTTGTCACTTCCCGGCTGCCCACACCAGGGAAGGTTGTTTCTTGACGAACCTGAAAAGGAAGATGGATTAGTGTTGGTGCGTGACCGCAGAGTCCAAGGGACAACTGCTTGAGGCCGGTCACGCACGGCCTTTTTATGAGAGGTATTTAGAGGATTAGCTCCGCTCTTAAAGGCCCTTAGTGGGCACCCTTACCGACGGAGACGGAAATCCGTGAGGTAGGGTGAGGTGTGACATTTTTAGGGTCGACCTTTTCTAACCCTTCCTTCCTTGTGAGAAGGCAGCATCGCTGCAGATGCTGGTTGTCCGAGGGAAACACCTTACTGCTGTCACACCCCTCTGCAGTCCGACTTCGCCCTCAGACCTTGGGTAGCTGCTTTTAGTCTGATCGTTCTCCAATCGACCTGCCTGGCATGGTAGGACCTGCAGGAACATGTGCTCCAGCCAGTATAGCTCGGTTGGGTCATGACGATAGGCAAGCCCGACCACCACGTCAAGGTAGCAGCTTCGGTCGGGCATGCTATTTAACACGTATAATGAAACATCAGGTGAGACTGTGCACATAGAACACAAACATCAATCACCTCAACCGATGAGAACTTATAGACTTATTAATTGACGTTTAGCTTCTACCTATAAAACAGTCAGTCAGTCAGTTGCAACGTAGAACTACGTACGTATGTACATAAGTTCATGTTGCCATACCACATTATTAACACAGAGACGCAAATGTCAAATCAAATCCCATAGTGATAAAGACAGTAGAGGTATTAATGGTAATGAAGAAGACTAGGGTTCGAAGTATAATTAAGTGAAATAAGGTTAGAAAGACAAAGGTAGATGTGCTGACGAATCCAGCAAATTAGGATTTGAGAGAGCGCAAAGAATGGATGCACTTACGCCATTGCAAACGATTTTGAGCCATGTCGTTCAAGGTCTCTAACCATTGGTGACTTTCGTCTCGCGGACCCCAAACACGTAGTCTACATCTACCAACATGACTCAGTCCACTTGTCACTGACTTCATGCATTTCTGCCATGTTTTGGTCTGGCCGCCCCTAGCTTTCTTCCAACCTACTCCTACACCACAAAACATAGCTCGTCGAGGCAGTCGGTGGTTAGGCATACGTAATACTTGTCCCAACCACCTCAACTGATGAAGTTTCACCACTTCATCTACTGATCTGCCATCCTTACCTAGTACTCGTTTCCTAACGACAGCATTGCTTACTCGGTTGTCCAGCGATATACGAGCAATGCTTCTTAAACATCTATGATCGGATACCAGTAACCTACGAACATCTTCTACTCTTAACGGTCATGTTTCGCATCCATATAGGAGAACGGAACGAACTGCTGCGCAGTACACCCGCCCTTTGGTTAGCGAACGGATATCACGCCTACGCCATAAGTGACGCAGGTCGGCAAAAGCCAATCGAGCCTTCTGTATCCGCATTGAGATTTTGTCAGTCACCAGGCCATCGGCACTGATGAGACTCCCTAGATAAGTGAAGCGATCAACACTCTCGAATACTTCGCTCCCTATCACTAGTTCAGGTGCCGATGCAATCCAGTCTTGAAGAAACATTTTGCATTTCGAGGGTGAGAACCGCATCCCGAACATGCTCGCATTGTTGCTTATGGTAGTCAGAAGACTCTGCATTTTGTCAGCGTCTTCACTGAATAGAAGTATGTCATCGGCATATTCTAGATCAGTAAGCGAATTTCCTGGTAGAAGGTCAACCCCTGAAAAATCTGAAGAGCTTAATGTTAACTCTAAGAGGATGTCTACGACAAAGTTGAACAAGAATGGAGAGAGTGGACAGCCCTGACGGACACCACTTGATGTAGTGAATTCAGATGACAGTTCGCCATATGCTCTCACCCGACCAGTGGTGTTCGAGTTGAGAGCTTGTATAAGGTTAATGTACTTCTTTGGTACAGTCAGAGAGGTATTAGGGAATGTAGGAAGGATTTGATTTTGAACAATTTTGTCTCGTGTGCTGTTGCGGGTATGAGGGCGGTTGTCACTTCCCGGCTGCCCACACCAGGGAAGGTTGTTTCTTGACGAACCTGAAAAGGAAGATGGATTAGTGTTGGTGCGTGACCGCAGAGTCCAAGGGACAACTGCTTGAGGCCGGTCACGCACGGCCTTTTTATGAGAGGTATTTAGAGGATTAGCTCCGCTCTTAAAGGCCCTTAGTGGGCACCCTTACCGACGGAGACGGAAATCCGTGAGGTAGGGTGAGGTGTGACATTTTTAGGGTCGACCTTTTCTAACCCTTCCTTCCTTGTGAGAAGGCAGCATCGCTGCAGATGCTGGTTGTCCGAGGGAAACACCTTACTGCTGTCACACCCCTCTGCAGTCCGACTTCGCCCTCAGACCTTGGGTAGCTGCTTTTAGTCTGATCGTTCTCCAATCGACCTGCCTGGCATGGTAGGACCTGCAGGAACATGTGCTCCAGCCAGTATAGCTCGGTTGGGTCATGACGATAGGCAAGCCCGACCACCACGTCAAGGTAGCAGCTTCGGTCGGGCATGCTATTTAACACGTATAATGAAACATCAGGTGAGACTGTGCACATAGAACACAAACATCAATCACCTCAACCGATGAGAACTTATAGACTTATTAATTGACGTTTAGCTTCTACCTATAAAACAGTCAGTCAGTCAGTTGCAACGTAGAACTACGTACGTATGTACATAAGTTCATGTTGCCATACCACATTATTAACACAGAGACGCAAATGTCAAATCAAATCCCATAGTGATAAAGACAGTAGAGGTATTAATGGTAATGAAGAAGACTAGGGTTCGAAGTATAATTAAGTGAAATAAGGTTAGAAAGACAAAGGTAGATGTGCTGACGAATCCAGCAAATTAGGATTTGAGAGAGCGCAAAGAATGGATGCACTTACGCCATTGCAAACGATTTTGAGCCATGTCGTTCAAGGTCTCTAACCATTGGTGACTTTCGTCTCGCGGACCCCAAACACGTAGTCTACATCTACCAACATGACTCAGTCCACTTGTCACTGACTTCATGCATTTCTGCCATGTTTTGGTATGGCCACCCCTAGCTTTCTTCAAACCTACTCCTACACCACAAAACATAGCTCGTCGAGGCAGTCAGTGGTTAGGCATTCGTAATACATGTCCAAACCACCTCAACTTATGAAGGTTCACCACTTCATCTACTGATCTGCCATCCTTACCTATTACTCGTTTCCTAACGACAGCATTGCCTACTCGGTTGTCCCACGATATACGAGCAATGCTTCTTAAACATCTATGATCGGATACCAGTAACCTACGAACATCTTCTACTCTTAACGGTCATGTTTCGCATCCATATAGGAGAACGGAACGAACTGCTGCGCAGTACACCCGCCCTTTGGTTAGCGAACGGATATCACGCCTACGCCATAAGTGACGCAGGTCGGCAAAAGCCAATCGAGCCTTCTGTATCCGCATTGAGATTTTGTCAGTCACCAGGCCATCGGCACTGATGAGACTCCCTAGATAAGTGAAGCGATCAACACTCTCGAATACTTCGCTCCCTATCACTAGTTCAGGTGCCGATGCAATCCAGTCTTGAAGAAACATTTTGCATTTCGAGGGTGAGAACCGCATCCCGAACATGCTCGCATTGTTGCTTATGGTAGTCAGAAGACTCTGCATTTTGTCAGCGTCTTCACTGAATAGAAGTATGTCATCGGCATATTCTAGATCAGTAAGCGAATTTCCTGGTAGAAGGTCAACCCCTGAAAAATCTGAAGAGCTTAATGTTAACTCTAAGAGGATGTCTACGACAAAGTTGAACAAGAATGGAGAGAGTGGACAGCCCTGACGGACACCACTTGATGTAGTGAATTCAGATGACAGTTCGCCATATGCTCTCACCCGACCAGTGGTGTTCGAGTTGAGAGCTTGTATAAGGTTAATGTACTTCTTTGGTACAGTCAGAGAGGTATTAGGGAATGTAGGAAGGATTTGATTTTGAACAATTTTGTCTCGTGTGCTTTTGCGGGTACACCTTTGGTACACCTTTCAATGACAGACACTGCCACAGAACCTCACAATCAACTGAGTCGAATGCCGCTTTTAGGTCCAGGAACACGACTATATATCATATTTAGGCGAAGGCCGTTTGTGTGACACCGATAAGTATATATATTTCCGAATGTATAATTTTGATAAAGAACTAGCCGAAAAGAGAACTGACTCTTAACTAAACTAAACTTTTTTTTATTTTATGTCATCAATAACCAACTTAATAGCTCCATCATAAGCCAGTCTTGTTTCAGAAACATCTAAAATCGAGAACTAACTGCCCGAATATGCAGTAGTATTCATTAACACAACATACTGAGTGGTGTGCAAATGTAAAAAGATATATAACTCAATGGTGTTGTTATAATTCTCTCTTTATTACTACAACCTAGCAATTACTGATGTTTAGTATTCTCGGACACCAATTCATTCGAGACGTTCTCCCAAATCAGAACACAGTTGAACAAGAGAAGAGATTATATTCCAATAACAAGGTTAGATGGAAGTCAGAGAAGTCTAAAACCTAATTTTTATTGTTTTTACATGAGAAGATTCTAGAATGTTCCCGCCGTATCGACTAGCGCTGATTGGATACCAAAGAGCTCTTTTGTATCCAATCAGCATGAAACAAGGCAATCGTGTATGGAATATGCTTTAATCCAATCGACGCCCCGCTAACAGGTGTGAACTTGTTATTTCCAAAGCACATCACCTACTTCTCCTACTTTGAACTTAATTAGTAGTACTGTTAGACCTCATGTATAAGGTGTCGTTTATTGCATAGACCAAGAACATCAGAAATCAGAGAAAAAGCATTCACAACAACATAGTAATCACAGAAATATTTTTTTCCAAAAAATCAAACAACACTTACTTGATTGCATCCAATCAATTATAGGTGTATTATTCCATAATAGAATTTCCACATCTTGTAAATAACGTAGAATAGAAAATCCCCATCGACGAATAACTATAACTGTATCTTCACTAGGAAACAATGTCTTTCCTGAAGATATACTATTGGTAGTAGGTATAGTATTTAAACGTAACAATCCCAAAGGTTGTAAACCATGTTCATGATAATCAATAGCTGTAGCATAAAATGTCTTTAACATTGTCTTGAAACCAGCATGATCAAGATTTGGAATTAGCTGTAAAAAAAAATTAATCATGATGATGAGAATTATCCAATTAATTTGTAATTTTCAATTTCTTTAAGTTAATTTAGGATGTGATTAACGACCAGTCAATCAGTCACTAATAACTACCATACATAACTCCAATTGATGGAACGTTAGGGTGAACAAATTGATTCACTGAATTACGGGGTTGCACCGCGTGGATGCGCACTGCTGGAGACTCATACCAGGATGAGACGACAGTCCAGTGCTTCCACGTTTCTAACGGTGGTCTGACATTGATCGATTCATGATTTCAATGAGTAAATTGATTTATAATAGTTATAGCCTAGCGAAATGATAACATATGGGACTATCAGCCTTTAAATTCCATGTTCGTAGCCCGCTCCATCTACTTCAGGTTTTAGCAACCGAACAATATGATTAGCCTTAAGACTTAAAGTGTGGATCATGTCCAAGTATCTGGTGAATGAGTTCACAAAATATGTACGGTATATTAGGGAGTTTGTTAGTGATAACATCTAAACTCGATCAATCAGTTAGCTACAACATAGGACTTGGTACGTACATACATCAGCTCAAGTTGCCACATCACATTAGCACGCAGACGCAATTGTCAATTCAAATCCCATAGTAGTAAAGGTAGTAGAATTATTAATGAAAAGATATTATTCAAGAAGAATAATCTAGTGAAACAAACGTAAACGGAGAAAGACAAAGGTGATGGGGAATTCAGAAGATTAGAATTTAAGAGAAGATAAAGAATAGATGCACCTGCGCCATTGCAAACATCTGAACTAATAACAGAGCGAATTTGGACACGTCAAATACTTCACTTATCTTGAAAACCTCATCAGCTTCTATACGTTGATACCACAAAAAACTTATAGGATGGGAATCTAATGGACCCGGGCTTATCGAAGCATCTTTCAAGACAAAGAAGGGGAGGATTACAATGAATGTGTCATGAGCCGATCAACGATAACAACGAGAACGATAAAGGCCAGTTTATGAAAGGTTATATTTTTATCCCTAAACACCCTTTTCTTCTAGCAACTTCTAGGCGACGCTCCGCTATCTACTGCTTATATACCACTTCGTGAGTAGCATTTCTTCGAAATACTGACAAACCCAGAGAATGCTGGATAGCTCTCAGAAATAAATTCTGCTGACTTTACACTCTCGAGATGCTTCTGTGAAAGTTCTGCTCAGCGCTGATTCGGAAAAACGTTTCTAAGCACTTTTTTGGCTTCCATAGACTTTGAAGCCCCCAAACAACTCCGAAGATGTTTTCTTCAAAAATATTTGGGAGGAAGAACAATTACTGACAGACTGAGAAGAGAAATACCTTGTTAAAATTCCAAAGGAAGATCTCATATTGTGAGAACTACAGAGTCATAACACTACCGTCAGAACTAAGAAAAGCTTTCAACAGTGTTATTGAATTGAACAAAGGATTCAGTAGACACCGGACACCGAAATCAACAAGCTGTATTCCGTAAGGATCGATCATGTACCGATCAAATCGCGACACTATGGATCGTTGCTGAATGGCCAATTGAATGGAACTTATCACACAAGGCAAAAGGAAAAGAAACAGACCAAAGAATACACTGAACCGGGTATTAAAGGTAGATATTTATTTACTTAAACATAATCATTGGCACAAAAAGACACCTAATTATTGAATTTGTGACTGAGTTGAGATACTGTCCGAGCGCTCAAAAGCAAATAGATAGTTTTCTTAGAGAGCCACTCCCCAAGGCTTTGATCCCACAGCTTAATCACGAGGCAGTAAAGCAACGTTAGATCAGGTGATCTCATGGTAGACAGTAACTAACAATCGTTTCATATGCCATTCACCTCATTAAGATCTTGAGGCCCATGCATAGCATTGGTTTGGAGTCAGAGTTTTCCACCTCCTTTAGATGAATCCTCAGCATTCACTGACCCAGTTAAAACGCCAGACACGATTTCATAAACGACATCCCCGCTGCGAGAAAGCAGTGAGTAGGACTTCCCCGATAGTGGATATATACGCGTAATCAAATGAAAACATTTCCGTATTTTCTTAAAACTTGAACTGACCAGGTAACAGAATGAAAATACACCTAAGTGAGAACCTGAGCGAATAGTGCTGTTACGTAATCTTACATCAGCAGCAAAAAGGTTACGATTTTTGCAAAAACCAATTAAGCTAAGGAAAACATATCTATAAACGAACTAGTACGACATCTACAGTGAAGTCAGAAGTGTACACTTGACAGTTCACTAACTAGTGACCTATGTCATGTTTGTTCAGTACTTTTTTCGTGTTATTCGACTTCAATAAATCAATTTGTAATGTGCCTACAAGCTTAAGCGATTCAACATCTCATGCACTATGTTAAGTTGCAAAGTGGTTGGAAGCAGTCGTCTGGATGCCTCATTTTACCTACGCCTGTGATATGAGGAAACTGGAGCTACCTAAAGAATTCGATTCTGGTCACTCAACCTCATAATTTGAAGAGTTACGGCGTCAGCAGTGAGCTCCTATAGGATTGAGATATTGACAATGAACTTATCACTGAATGGTGACTAATGTTATGCTTGTCTAGTCCATTTTCTTAGAAATACTGCCAACTTAAGATAGTCGTCAGAATTTCATAAAAACCTACAAGCTATAATCAGTAAAATTGTTAATGACTATGTGCCACTACTTTAATAAGTATATTTATATGAAGATAAGAAAAAAATTTCGACCACAAGAAACTGACCTTATCTGTCAATGTGCGATGTATAAGGATACGCATTTCATGAAGATTACTAACAGTGAATATTGAATCACAATCCAAGATTGAATAACTTTCACAAATTGACTAAATAAAAACATGAATTAAACCAAGAAACATTGTTAAATAATGGTACGTTAAGGGTTTACAGTTAATGTAAATGGGAACAGAAATTTTCAATAACAGATGACAAAATCTTATTCTGGTATTGTCTTTCAATAACATACATAAATGCTGACATCATACATGAACAATCTAAGAAGAAAACTAGGTATTAGTCAGATGACGTATATTAATATACAAACCTTCGTGAAGACCAGCATTTTCCTCAGCTATTCACAGTCTGAAATCATAGTATATTAAAATCGTTTGAACGAAACGAATGTACATGCTTAATATCAGAAATATCTAGAATAACCTGAGTTAAAATGTGACGATAGGATTAAGGTACTAAAATATAGGAGAATTACAGCCATTCAAACGTTTGCTTATCTACAGGTTAATATATATAAATAAATATTCTAGAAGAGCATTGAAATGAATCAATATTAATTCTTCCGTAGTATATAGTCTATTAGTTGTACCTCGACCGTAGCTGCTACCTTGACGTGGTGGTCGGGCTTGCCTATCGTGATGACCCAACCGAGCTATATTGGCTGGAACATATGTTCCTGCAGGTCCTACCATGTCAGGCAGGTCGATTGGAGAACGATCAGACTAAAAGCAGCTACTCTAGGTCTGAGGGCGAAGTCGTACTGCTGACTGCAGAGGGGTGTGACAGCAGTAAGGTGTTGCCCTCGGACAACCAGCATCTGCAGCGATGCTGCCTTCTCACAAGGAAGGAAGGGTTAGAAAAGGTCGACCCTAAAAATGTCACACCTCACCCTACCTCACGGATTTCCGTCTCCGTCGGTAAGGGTGCCCACTAAGGGCCTTTAAGAGCGGAGCTAATCCTCAAAACACCTTTAACAAAAAGGCCGTGCGTGACCGGCCTTAAGCAGTTGTCCCTTGGACTCTGCGGTCACGCACCCAGGTCTCTAATACCAACACTAATCTATCTTCCTTTACAGGTCCCTCAAGAAACAACCTTCCCTGGTGTGGGCAGCCGGGAAGTGACAACCGCCCTCATACCCGTAATAGCACACGAGATCAAATTGGTCGAAATTAAATCCTTCCTACACCCACACATACCTCTCTTCTCTCCACAACTAACTCTACTCACAATCCCTTATTAATTGTACCTCCACATTTTAACTCAAGTTATTCTAGATATTGCCAATAGAAGGTATGTATACTCGTTTCATTTTTATGATTAATTCTGTAAGCAGCTGAGGATATGAATGTACTCATGTTTTTCTGCAACAGTGATTGTTTTTCTTCATTAAAATTTCTTAAATAATTCGCTCTTGAGGACAAGGGTTGAAGGTTAACCTGTATACAACTTCACTTGTCGAATCCAACCAATCCTCCAAAAATGGGTAATAGTTGGGATTTGTGGGAAAGTCAACTAAATGGACATATATAAACAACTATGAATCGTATTTCGATATTCTATTAGTGCTATAGATGCGTAGTTAACATTTTTATACGCAACTATATGCAAATATACCGAACTACGACCGAGGTTACGAGCTAACAGTGAAACTCAACAATTAAGCATGTATTCATTAACGTACTTTCGAGTCACATGGCTTGTGCGAAAGCTAATGATTGTTATTACACTACTCAAACTGAAAAGGTGATGCGGGGTTCGAACTCAGCGGTTAATGGACTTTGAAACAGTCAATGTTTGTTGGAACCAATAAACTGAGGAATACAGTATGTTGCCTTGGTTGGATGTAACAAAACAATTAAATTTATCTGATGTTAAACATCAGGATGTATTGCAGTGTAAAATAATGGACCTTCAAGTCTAATTTGAGCTGCCTTGACACTAAAGTATGTAGTATTGTTTTGAGGATCAACTTATGTGCTTACTCTTGTTCACAAACAATCGATTATAAGAATAATATAGACGATAATGTCTGTGTAAACTAAGCTGAATAGTGAGTTCAAACAGTGAAGAAAGAATGATCTATTTGAAAGTTCCGACTACATTACTTAAATGTCTTACAGGTAAAACCACAGCCCTATGCTAATAATTTAAAAGTACATAGCTAAGGTAAACTTTAAAGTGGGAGTAAACAAGTATTGATCAGAGTAAAAAAAAATGAGACAAAACACACTTACTTTGAATGCATTTGCAATTGCAAACCAAGACAAGCAACCAGGATGAAAAAGTTGATCCAAGAATATATGTAACTGAACGTCAACACTAGTTTCATCCCATATATTGTTTATTGATTTATCGTCTGAAGATTCTACTAAGTAAGTAGGATGTTTATACCAGCTAGGCACAGGTTCAAGAAAATTTACACCAGGTGGGAAAGCTGAAATAGTTCTGTTACGTTTGTTAGTATCACAGTCTAGGCTTTGAATTTCTGTCCACCTGACAAAGTAACTACTGTCTAGATCAGTGTTTTCAGAGTTTGTTTGATGTGCTATCCACCATATACCGCCTGAAAGAAATTCATGTTATGGTAAACTAGTAAACATTAGATCGCATGAAAGTCTGAATTACATTAGTAAGCTAATAATAATGATAATAATAATAATATGTATTGCTCATGCTTTGTATTAAAAGGAAGCACAAAGTACCAAAGAGTGACTGTAAAAACGGCACCTTAATAACCTGGCGTACAGTGGAGATAATCATCCCACCCATGGCTACATATGTCTATTCGTTACCAAGGAAATTTTATGCGACACATTTGAGTGACAGAAGCGATTTCACTAGAGTGAAAGAATAAGCAAGGATGCTTGAAGCTTGCAGGATGCGTAAGGTTCGCCTAGGAAAATTAGAGCATCAACCTAAAACCAGTGAAGTACAAGGCTTCTAATATTCTGCAGGTACAAAAGTATGTTTCGGCACAATTTACGGAAAAATATATCTAACCAATTGGTTAGATTCATAAGCCAATGGTTTGGAGGTAGATATGTAAAACACCACTTATTGCTTGGAAATAATCCCTATTTTGTTTATACGAGATTTAAAGACAGAGCGTGATCCTGTTCCAACTCTCATGATGTTATGACGCAACTAAATGTGGTCAGTAGGAAATATATCTTATGACCTAACTCGTTTTTAAAAATAAACTTCAGTTTGGTGATAATCATCATGAAATTCTCAAGTCATACTAAACACTCCCTATGTTTAGGCATAAGGAAACATACTGCTTAGTATTTGAATGCTTTTTGGGACTCTGTGATATAACTAGGAATGATAAATATTAGAGCAGTCTCGGTGGAGCCTATGTATGTGTCGTGCAAACATAAAATTGCATCTAAACAAATCAAGATAATGTTTAAAAAAAGGAGATCGATACTTACCGAGAGTTTTTTTACGCATTTTTCGACTTCTAGGTGAATCATTTCCACCACTTGGCTTCTGGATTACTTGTGAAGGAATAAAATCCAAGACACTAACATCTGGTCTTTCTAATTTAGGTAATATGTTCAGATCATTCTGGTGTGACCATATTTCCCTGTTATTTCCCCATGAAGGTTCAGATAATGGTTTTACTTGTAGTACACTTAAACTTTCTCGATTACGACTTAAAGCTTTATCGATATCCAAATGCATCCAAAACCAGTAGTTTGAATTTACTTCTTTAGAAGAAGTAGAGTCAAAACTAATGTTGTTAGATGAAGATAAACACAAAGACATGTATGCAACCAAAATGATACCATGATCAGATGCAGGATAGGAAGATAGACGGTGACATAAGCCAGGTGCAAACATTGAGTGTAATGTAGATGAATCATAAGTAGGACTAAGATCAAACGTCTTGGGTAGCATCTCCAAGAGATCTAATACAACGAAACAGCTGCGATGCTAAATGAGAGTAAAAAGTCCAAAAATTGTGGAAACTGTAAAAACTGACTAGAGGACATAATTATCTGAGTTCATAAAATAACACCTATGATTTGTAGCAAAGTGAATTCGTTATTTGTACACCAGCTGAATTGCGAACAAAATCCAGGAAAAGTGTGAAATGAAGGATCTTGCTCCCACCTCACTTACTTTAGTTCCAGCAACCGGGTAGTATCAAAAACTTATTTTTATATTTTAGTAAACTAACAAGGGTTTATATTCAAAGGACCAGTTTATTTTGCTCGGTGACGGGTAGAAAAAAATAATCACGCCAAAACTCTTGATATACTCACAACAAACTATACAGTTCAGCACTAATATGCTGTTTTTACCATGGATGGTAAGTCAAAGTTACAAACATGTTAAAGAAAATAAGCCTGGTATGTGAGTAACCCACTTACTTATCAAGTCTATATCTTTGATACTTTTTACAGACATGGAACTACCGGAGACAATCTTGTTATAGATGGCTAAAAGATAGCACTAGTAATGATGTGATAAGGAATAACAAACATCAAGGAACTAAGACAGCTTCGTGACAAACAAAGAAAAATGATATTTACCTTGAGATCCCATAACCTTAAACGGTGATCTTTGCAAATAGTTGCTAAAAAGTGTTCATCAGATCCAAGACTCAGAGCACTTATGTCTAATGGTGAGGAAGAAGAATCGTTGTCATTTTTGCTGAAATTAAACATATATTAAAGCAGAATAATTACCTAGAAAACGGTGTAATACCGCACCATATCTTCTGAATCATTGAAGCTTGGCACAACTCAAAGACCTCAGTGACTTCTGTGGCTAAAACGAAAGGTACGAAAGCTTTTAACTACTCCATTACTATACATGTTAGGGAAATTTACTAAAACAAAGAAACCAGAAGATGTATGTCTTTACCCATTTACCAGTTCCAGATTTGAGCACCTGATTTTGAGCCACAATAGGTGTGAAGACTGGAGATACAACTTGCACTTAACTATCCAGAAAGCATCATGACAGTGGCCTTCAACAATTTGCATGTGAAATGCTTTATAAGTAATGTAGCCATAAAGTTTTGCTGAATGGTATATTAAGTGGTATAAAGTTGGTGATTTAATTCTGACTGGTCAATCACGGAAAGCATTTGAAGTAATTATAAGACAAAATCTGCCAGGGAAACTAAAACTCGTTCCATTTTTCAGGAAAAGTAAAATTATATACAAAGCTAGTGGCGAAAATATTGACATCACGAAGGAACTGATTCTTAGTAATATGTGGGTGATGAAATGGGAATTATTAGTAGAATTCGAAGGCAATCAATTTCGGAATATTATGATCGATAGACCTTTTAAAAGAAGTACAAAATGTGACGTTTGCGTAGGCTGTGATTTCAACGCCGTCTCTTGTGCTAATAACTCTCTGCTGTACCAAATATAAAGTTGTGAACAGAAGTGTTGTTGGTAGTTATGACTACTTACCAGAAGAATTAGGTAGATTCACCGTTGCAACGAGTATGGAACCCGTAGATAATCCATAGGCAAAGACTACTGCACCAGAATGAGTCTGTACGAATGCTGTAGCACAACGAATGGTCATTGGCTGAAGCCCTTTTATTTGATGAAAAGTATGATGAACATTTCTACTGCTACCGATAACGGAATGTTGAACAGAAGTAGAAATCTAGATGTACAATGAAGTTTATTATTATTAGATTACCACACGCGGATGAGGGAACATCAACTGTGAAGCTCCATGAGAGGTGCACACAAGACAAACAACATTGTTAGGTGTCTCAGTTATTTGACAGTTAACTATAGCAGAACCTCCGAAGGAGATTTTGATAACATTATTTGGGAGGTCATGGTGCAAAGACAACTCTTGCAACTCAAGTATATCCCCATGTGAACGCCTAAAGGAAAATAGACTAAATTCTATCTTACCACAAAATGAAACGATTCGTCAAAGCAACTGTTGAATCAAAGAAGGTAAACCCTCCAGCCTTGTCAGGAAAACTAGCATCTTGAAGCGTTCTGGAAAATGTATCTGATCCATAGCTTAGGAGTAAAGACTAGTTACCACAATTTATGTTCACAGTAGGAATGTCTGCAACTGCTAGACTGTCTAGTGCATATAACTCAGCGAAAGCAACAGACATGATCAGCAGTCAAATTGAATGAGAGCAGGATTGAGTGACCTTCCAATCCAATATCCAATATTTTTTTCACAAGCTAGTATAAACCGACTGATTTCTCTGCGCTCGCTTCTTGTTCTTTCTGTACGGTTCCAGGTGTTCTTTAGTGTCTAATTATTGGGGGACTAGCCACTCGACTATCTAATTACAGTCAGTTGGCAGTTGGTTGTGAGTTTGTATATCCCGTGATTTAAATGAAAGCGTTTGTTTCAGGGCATATAATTTTCAAGAGTCAGTGCAAACGAAGTGGTTTCTTCGCTCTCGTTTTTTTTGGTACAGTCTTGCTACTGAGCTGCATAAATTTGGGTCAGTTGGTAGTTATTCGTGAATTTTTATGTCCCGTGACTTGAGTGAGTGCTTTCGTCTCAGGGAAGTAGGATTTCTGGAAACCAGGAGTTGGCACAGTTGGTTTCAATGTAAATAATAACAATGGGAAAATGCTTTTTCTAAAATAAGCGTTTCAGAAACAAGTGGATGACTAGATAAACTTGTACGAAAATTTGAGAAGACCGAAGTGTAAGGATAAAATAGGAAATACTTACGATGATAGGTAGGACAGAATAAGTTAGTGATATAGGGGAATGATAATAAGAAGATCATTCCAGTTTCGAGATATTTATAGGGCACAACTAGTCCAGGAAGAAGCTAAGAATCAGTGTCTGATTATGTGTTTGCCAAGTCTCCTCTTGAAGCTATCAAGTTGAGGGACTGGAGTCACTTGGCATGGACAGCATTCTAATTGGGGACAAGTTTTAGTCAAAAAGTGGGCAATCGCTTGTGTTTGCCCTTTTATGTACCAACTCTTTAGGATTACCTAAAGGGGCACGGTGGTGATGTTCTGGTAGGATGCTGGTGTAGAGATGATTCAAGACACTTAATATGTTGATATTGTGTACCAAGTCATTAAAAATATCAAAAAGAACAATAGACTTGCTGTTCCTCCAGTGTGTTCTCCTCTACCTACCCTCGTTTGTTTACCGAAAAAGTCAGTATATTACGTTCCGACATCAGGTGCACATCTTGGTTGGCAGCAACACTGTTGATGGAACAGTCCTGGAGCAAAGATGAATACTGGCTTTCCCATGTTACGTCCAACTGAGTGTAACGAATTATTCGCTTGGCCTTAACTGAATTCCCGGATTATAGGAAACTAGTAATACCTTGACGGGTTGCTAACTCGACGTTACTGACAGTAATCCAGTCCTGAAATTACCAGTAGGTACAGGTGCCGAACTAGGTTTCAGTATTCAGACAAACTCGGTGGACAAACGTCCCCAGTCACATTTCGAGCTGACGAATAAACTAAAACTGCAACTTCGTGGCGGAGAACTTTGATACTAAATATCTGATTTTACAGATGGTTCCCCTTAGTGTTTACTCTAGCGGATTCAAATCTCGCAAGACTGAAAATGGACCTTTAAGAGAAATACGAATTACTAGTTGACATTAGTAAATGGCGTTTCATATGTTTCGCCTGAAATCACACAGAAAAGTCTAAATTCCGCTTAAATTAATGTAAACCTACATTAATATCATACATAGAGCCTGTACGCCTGATAGTCAGAAGTTCACCTTTGTTTATCCAAGACAACAGCCACTAATAAGAACCATAGCTGACAAAAAGTGAAATGTTTTTATTAATTACTAATATTTCACAGGAGCAGCGCTTTTGTCTGTGTGCTAGCATGTGTTAGTACTATAAGCATTTTGATCTTGCTACCAAACTAGTGTGTTTCATGTAACACATTGTTACTCCCTAATCAATCATTATTAGCATAAAAATAAAAGTGTTTATGACTTCCATGAGTCTTTTTTATAACTGACTCTCAGTCTCAGTCGTTTGATCCCTGAAGAAAAACGCATTGACTATTGAGCGGTCTCAACGCAGCAGAAAAGCATGACAAAGCAAGCGTGCGTCACAAAGATAACAAAAAAACGTAAAATGAGCAGTAAATTCAGCACTTCGTCAATAAAATGCTCTATCAGTCTCAGTCCTCGTCATCACTGGGCTTACTCTGAAGTTCAGCTAACAGATACAGCTGTTGCGAGGCATTACGTGAAATGGATAGTGATTATCGATTACGAAATAAGCTAAAATACCCGTGTGTCTAGAAAGGAGAAAAAGAAAGGTAATCAGTAGGAATTTTAAATAACAAAGTCTCTTCTCTTTAATGAGTCGGGCTTCATTTAACTCTTCTATCAAGTATGAAACTATTTTGTGATTTTCAAAATTCAACCAACGTTCCACTCGGTTGTCATTGCGAGTCTAAATGTTGGTGTTGACTTCTCCAAGTCTATTCCAATTAAACTTGTTCATATACAGTCATAATAGTGAAAGGGTTACTTAGCAACCAGTGACAAAAACGTTCCTGTTTACTGAAATTTAAGATACGTGACAATACTGTATCGAGCTCGCTCTAATGGTAGGCGATGTCTTTATTCAGCAGGTTGAAAACACATAGCAACTTTATTACATTCTTGCACAAAAGCGAGTTAGAAAGCAGTCAATGGCTGACCTTGCTACCAGTTCACCCATCGGCCAGATCCAAGTTTCGACCATGTTATCGTTGGTTCGGTAGGTCTTTACTGCTTCTAACGATTTTTATTGATGATTAGTATCTGCAAACAGATTCACGAGATTCACAGTAGCCGTAATATTAACTAACATCACAGCCGTAATAGTGACAAGGTGCTTCATATAGAACTGTGAGATCAATTTTGATACGCCGGTCAAAATAACAACTGATTGTTGAGCCCAGCCAGAACCTTAGCTATACGATAACCTATCGCAACCTTTAGTGTAGTTGGATTTTCTACCGTAGCAGTTCAATAGACGTATGTTGGATGAACCTCCGTTATTCGAATATCAAAACACAATAATTCTAGGAGAAAGTGGTCTATTTATAGAGAAGAAATGGAAATACAAACGTTACCTAACAAATTTTACGTCTTCCAATTCAAAATTACTCTGAATGAGTATCCAGGTTCCAGAAACTAGGTGAAACTCGTATACTACAACGATATCAAATCCAAAAATGTGGCTGTAGCCATATTATATCGAATTTAAACAACATGTGTACAGTTCAGAAGCAAACATGAAAACTTCAATATAAGTACAAAATATAGAAATAATAACAATATACAATGATAAAATCTCAAAATGGAATCAAATAAAATACCAAAATGTCAACAGAAAAAGTCCGTCATGTCATAACAAAAATATATAAACATGGAGGGATTTTCCGAAAAACAAAACATTCAAAAAAGATTCTACACCGGCCCGCAAAATCCCTCCATGCAAAAAGGCAAGCGTTTGATGACACTTCAATTTAGAGTTCCCACTCATCCCCTAATCCACACCGGAAGAACGTGTAGGACTTACAGCAGTACGCCTACCCGCCCTACAACATGGATATGACCTTTCAAGCTAACTAGGTACCTGTACCTTCCCATCAGGCCCTTGATTCCCCTATCTATCGTAGCATGACCTAACGGTAGTATAAACCTTACCCAACTAACCCACACGAACATGTACAACACGTCGTAAAGCTGGTCATATCCTATCCGGAAATTACATTCCATATCATGGGGATGAGTCGTCAATCCACCACCACTTGCCCCGATCGGCAGACACAATGAAGTCCGTGATGCTGACTTATCAACAGAAGTTCTCGACCCATAGATAATATGCAAGGGTGGGATCTCCAATTTTGATATTTCCTCGTCTTCCGAAGACTTTAAGTGGCATAACATGCGACCAATATTTATCTCTCCATCTCCTGATACAGAGGAGGTTTGATCAGCATTCGTCATCGTCGGTAACTCATTTGTCACATCAGTGACATCCAGATTATTATCAACGTCATCATGATTTCGTTGTGTCAGACAGGTCGCGTCGTTTCGGTCTGCACTAGCATCCGTAGAGTGAAACTCTTCCATTGTTGTATAACTCATCTCTCTACATGAAAGAACAGCATAAGTGTCACAATCAAAAACCGATAAACTCACTTGTTGTTCTTCATGTTCCGTTTCAGAGACACAAGACGTATGCACATCAATAGCATCGTTATCATGCAACACTGCAGACTGGCTGTTACCATCAGACGCTTCCTTCTCATCATCACTTGACTGACAGTCAACCGAAGTAGGAACACTTACAGTTACACAACCTCGTGTATCCTCAATCAACTTAACATTCGCGACAAGGTCCGATGACGTCGAAACATTAGAAGGCTCGTTCGATGAAGATGATCGACTAGTCACTATACGTGGACTGCTCACACTTTCTGTCTCTTTATTATCGCTGTCACTACTAAGATTCTGATGACTACGATTTCCATTGCTAGTCATAGCATCCGAAAGAGAATCATGTTTAGGCTTCTTAATAATAGTAGCATCATGATGTTTCCTATGCTTCTTAGCTTGGGTAGCAGCATGTGAGCGTAACGTACGATCATTTCGTAGACGATGAGTGTCTTTCAAATTCCATCGACCACTATTACTAGCAGAAGTATCAGCAATGCTATTATCATTAATAGCCGCAGCTGTACAAACATCAGTACACTTCTCATGACATCCAGTCGACTCATGCGCAGTGGCTAACACTGCTCGATCAACATTGCTTTCCTTACTAGGAATGTTTTTAGCCTTATCTATCTTATCGCTGTTGGTAGTGCTCATCCTGATACTTGTAGTACAAGTCAGTGAAGGTAAAGTGCGACAGGTGAACAATTCCATGCTTGATTCCTCATGCTGCATATTCAACACAACAGCATGTCCATGAAACCTAGATGACTCCTCATTGCACCTAGGATACTAAATGTTAGTCTTCTCAGTACTGCCGTCACCGTGGCTTAAGCTATTGCCACCGACGCTTATATTCTCCACTCTCAAACATCCAATTTCGTCTTGATCCGAAGCACTCAAAGAATCTACATTAGCAACATCAACCGAAGAAACAGC